CTGAGTTCCAGGACAGCCTGATCTACAGACTGAGTTCCAGGACAGCCTGATCTACAGACTGAGTTCCAGGACAGCCTGATCTACAGACTGAATTCCAGGACAGCCTGATCTACAGACTGAGTTCCAGGACAGCCTGATCTACAGACTGAGTTCCAGGACTGCCAGGACCACACAGAGAAGCCCTGTCTCAAAAACAAAAAAGAAATAAAGAAACATAAACAAATGTCTTCTTCCCTCACCCCATCTGCTTCCCTGACCTCTGTGCCCAGAGACTGTAGCTCAGCACTGAGTCCCAGCCTGCGGGGACCCCAGCCACCAGCACTACTGTAGAGAGAAGCACTTTCCATCCCTACCTCATCAATGAAGAAAACAGGGCACAGAAAGACTAAGAAAGCATTGTGTGTCTGGGCAGGATTTGAACTCAGCCTGCCTTGCTCTAGAGCCCACGCCTGAATCACACATGCTAACTAGTTTTTAAGCATTAGCTTGATTTTAAGATGTGCACATATGCTCCACGGGCATTACCTCATTCAACCCCAGTAAGGTCCTGTACCTTCCCATCATCACCTTAGCTTAAGACAACCAAGAAGGACTGCTTCATACCCAAGGGGCAACAGGATCCCTGGAACCAGAATCTTACCCCCCCCCCCCGTCCCCCGATATCTGTATCTTGAAGACTGAGACAATCTTCCTCATAAACAGCCTGTTTGGGCATGATGAATCTAACCACCATCATTTACTATGAGAACTTGAAAAAAATCATTGGGTGTTTCAGAAAAAAACTTCATGTGGGAGCCAGTGCTGTTCTGACCAACGTCTCTTAAAAGATGAGAAACAGATGCACCAGGGTCTCCAAATTAATGACTAATAAACAAAGGTCCGGGAGGCAGCTTAGTTAGTAGAGCACTTGCCTAGCATGCACAGGCCCCGGGTTCAATCCCTGCTAGGCCTGAACCAGGCCTGTGATACATGCCTGTAAGCCCAGCCCTGGGAGGCTGGCAGCAGGAGGCTTGAGAGAGTTCAGGCTCATTCTTCACTATGTGGCAAGTTCAACCTGGGACACATGAGACCCTGCAACTAAATGGGAACTGGAGAGACGACTTGATTGGTAAAGTACTTGCTGCACATCCATGAGGCCCTCAATTACATTCCCAGCACCCACAAAAACGTGGGGTGCATGGAATCAAAGCACCAGGGAGGCCTGGACAGGAGGATCCCTGAGGCTCACTGGCCAGCCAGTCTAAATGGCCAGGTAAACTCTGGGTTCAGTCAGAAACTTATCTCAAAGAATAAGATGGAGAAGGATAAAGGCACCCACGGTCAACCTCTGTCCTCTGCGTGCATATGCGTGCACACACGCGCGCGCACACACACACACACACACACACACACACACACACACACAGCATTGACACTAGAAAAAAGTAAACAGAATGGGGTCTGAGCCAGGCTCTGTGAATCCAGTTTGAGTCTTAGAATTCGCCCTCAACTGAACCAGTGAAGAAGGGTTTGAGAGGTCAGGTTCCCTCAACCCAAGACATCTGCTCTCCCTGGGCATCAGGACTCACAGGCACTGTCTCCAGCAAAGCCACCTCAAAAACCTGCAACTCCAGATTGAGAGGCAGGGCCCTTGTCCAGGGATGATGGAAACATCAGAGAAGGGCTATGGAGGGTGTGGAGACCACGTGGTGGCGCCGAGTGGGCAGAGCAGTAAAAGATTAGAATGTGAGCTGCAGCCAGGCTGAGGGGACAGAAATGTGGGACCCGGCAGAGGGAGAGGCACCCAGGAAAGGACTGGGTGGGTGAACTGCAGAAGGGAAGATGTGAGTGAATTGAAAAAAAAAATAAAAGGAGGACATGACTGCTCCTCGGTATGGTGGAGGAGAAAGTTTACTGTAAATGTTAGGGAGAGCCTAAGAATCCAGTAGACATAACCAGCAGACTAAGTCAGGTCACGTGAGGAGAGAGGGAAGAGGAGAAGGGAGAGCCAGGAACAAAGAGACCAGGAGGCCAAAAAGGCCAAAGGGGCCCAGAAGGGCTGAGGTTATAAAAGGAAGAGCAGTTGGGGAAGGGTAAGCCAGCCAGAAGGACCCCGCCACAGTGGGGACTGAGAGATGCTGGGAGACCTGGCAGCCAGCATCGGCTTCCATGTGTTAGGCCGCTCAGTTAGCGTGCGTCCCAGGTTTGAGACCCAGCGGTAAGGACAGCAGATGCACGGCAGGGGGAGGGTTTCAGGGGGAGAAACGAGTCAGGGTCCTGGACACACCGGGGAAGGGGTCACCGAGAAGCAGGTGCTGAAAGGTTGGGTGAGATGGACTGAGCCGTGGGGGCTGACCAAAGAAACACTCCTCAAGAGATGAAAGGGAAAGAGAGGACGTGAAGAGGGAGAAAGAGGGGAAAATGGAAGGGTGAGAAGGAGACGGTGGAAAAGAGGAGGAGGAGGGAGAGGAAGAAGAAAAGGACAGAGAGAAGGGGAAGAGAGAGAGGTGGGAAAGGAGATGTGTAAAGAAGACCAGGAGATGGAGGCGGTGGGGTGAAAAGGAGAGAAGGAAGAAGAGAAGGCGCACAGGGAGAGGGCCGGGCAGGAGGAAGAACACACCCAACCTGAGGCCCAAGGACTTCTGGGTCAACCAAGACACCCAAGAGGAGGGGTGCATCCAGCCTGGGGCAGGCAGGACACGCAGATGAAGTCACCGCTAGGGGGCGGGGCAGACACACTCGCAAAGTCCACACCCCAGACTGCACTTGGCAGGGCGTGAGAGCGCCCAGGTTGTTGTCCTTTTGTGTGTCTTAGAGCCAAGGTCAGCACCAGCCAGGGCAGGCTCACAGTAGCATGTGTCATAGTGGAAAGCTTACTTCAAGCCGGCCCCCTCCAGGAGCCCTCAGTATAACCCAGGAGAGCCCCTGTACCCATCCCACACACACACCCCGCCACCAACCAGGGTGCTCCAAGACCAGAGAGGGTTGGAGGCTGGGAATAGGAAAACTAGACTCTCCTTCCCTTGGTCTTCTGCATAACCTTCGCCCTCATCTGAGCTTCAATCTCTCCATAAGGAGGGAAGCCCAGGAGCCATCCCGCAGGACTACAAAGAGGACGCAATGATCCGCGGACAGCACTGGGTGGCAGCCTGCGTCCCACAGAAGTGCCCCGCTGAAGCTCAGCGTGAGGCTAGACAACGCTGAGTGTGAGTGTGGCAAGGAGACAAGTGGACACGGGAGACTTCTAGACTAGTTTAGCCATGGGGGTCCAGGGTGTCTGCAGGTCTAGGATGGAGACTTAAACTAGTGGTTCTGGGGGTTTGAAGCTCTAGGTTGCCTGGAGGCCTGTGATTCCAGACAATTCTAACACCTTGGATTCCAGAGTTTCTGAGGACGTAGGTAGACAGAATGTCCTAGAATCTGAAACCCAATTTCTAAGGATATCTGTGTCCAGTAGCTCTAGAGGGGCTGAACCAGCCATGCAGGTTTGTCCCATAAAGTCAACAGCTTCCCAGACCTAGGGAGGGAGGAAGCTTATAACTGAAGCCATGCTTGGCTGTGTGACCACAGCTCAGTCCCTCCAGCTTGAGGGACCTTCTCATTATCAAGGTGTTAGGTGATTGCTCAAGGCCCTCTGGGAGTTTGAGACACCAGGAGCCAGCCACAGATTCCATAAACCTTGGGCCATCTCTGTGATGGTTCCAGCCTACAGATGCAGAGTCTGGAGGCCAAGCTCCAGATCCCACAGGACTACAAAGAGGACACAATGATCCGCGGACAGCACTGGGTGGCAGCCTGCATCCCACAGAAGTGCCCAGCTGAAGCTTGTCTCAGCGTGAGGCTAGTCAATGCTGAGTGTGAGTGTGGCACATTAACCTGGGAATCCAGTACCGAGACACCGATGCCTAGCTGAACACTGAGCGCATGCTCCACAGCCAGCACTAGCAATCCAGAACCAGAAGTCAGGCTGTCTTGAGTCCAGACATTTTGTTTGTTTGGCTGGATAGCCCAGGCTGCCTCAAACCTCCATCTTCCTGTCTCTACCTCCGGAGGGCTGGGATTGTAGTATACAGACGTGTGATACTGGGCCTGGCTCGATGCAGGCTCTGTTCTTTGTTTTGTTTTTGCTGCTGTTGTTGTTTGGAAGCAAGCCTTGGGTATCCCAGGCTAGCCTCAAGATCACTGTGTAGACAAGCATATCCTGAACTCCTGATCCTCCTGCCTCAGGCCCCCAAGGGCTGGGATTGCAGGCATGCACGATTCTATATGGTTTGTGTGGTACTAGGGATGGAATCAGGGGCAAGAGGAGGAGACGGAGGCAACACCAGAAGAAAGAAACAATAAGGAGCACAAGCCTGGGACCCCAAAAGTCATTCACAGTTCGGAGCCCAGGATACAGATGACTCCAGGCACGGGACGTCAGCCTTCAAAAGTGAACTCTCTAGGGTAGGGACACGGCTCAGTGAACGAAGTGCTTGTCATGCAAGCCTGGGAACCCGAGCTCAATACTCAGAACCTACGTAAAATCCAGCTTGAGTTTGTAATCCAGATGGACACAGGTGGGTCTCGGGAGCTGGCTGCCCAGCCAGCCTAGGTCTATCGAGAAGCTGCAAGTCGAACTGAGAGAGTCTACTCAGAACACAAGGTGGAGGGGCTGGAGAGAGAGCTCAGCAGTTGAGAACACAGTCTGCCCTTCTAGAGAACCTAAGCCTGGTTCCCATCACCCATGTCAGGCCACAACCAACACAACCTCCTGGGAATCTGAGGCCCTGGCCTCCACGGGCATCTGCACTGGTGCCCGAGCTCACATGTGCAAGCATACACATAATAAAAAACAAAAACAAATAAGGTGGACAGTGACTTAGGAAGACACCCACAGTTGATGCACGTGTGCACGTGTGTGCAAATTTAATATATTTCAATGACTAAAAATAAAAGTAGTTAAATTTCACACTGTAGACTTCAGGTCATGACAACCAAATTCGAGACCTCCCCAGTGTGTAAGCTAAGATGAACCCAGATCCAAGTTCCAAGGTGGCATGGTGGCACACCAAGGCTGTCATCCCAGCCTCTGGGAGGCTGAGGCAGAAGGATCTCAAGTTCAAACTCAGATCAGCCTGAGCTGCTTGGCAAGACCCTGTGTCGAAACAACAAAACAGCATCAAAGCTCAACACTCTCTCCCAGGCCCAAGAAGCATGACTTTAGAATCCAGCTTCCACCCCTACACCTAGAATCCCAGGCTCTGCATTTCACCGTTTTTCTGTGCTTGTCCTCCTGTCCCCTCCCTTGAGGAACTGCCCCTGGGTGGAATTCCTCCTCACAGACTCAGACAATGGCTTCAGACTAATAAACGCTCATTAGACTGACCCAGTCTGGCATCACACCTGCCACCAGGGCGTCCAGCCTGTAAATCTGACCCTCCACTGCCTCTCACTCCACTCTGCCCAACCCCACCCCAGACCCAGGCTGGGCCAGGAGCTTATAAATGCAGGCTTTCAGGCATCTGCTCCCCTTCTGGCATCCCAGCTGCTCTGGATGTCACTGGAGGACCTGGAGGGGGTGAGATCTTTGAGAAAGAGCTTGGGAAAGTGGGTGGGGGTGGAGAGGGGACCCTGAAAGTGCCTTGGTCTCCAGGAGTCACAGACTACCCTGGAGGGCCAGTTGTCAAGGGCATTGGGTCTTCGGTGTCCTTTTCCTGTAGCTTCAAGTTGAATCTGAACCAAGAAAATGTCTCGAAGCTTCTAGAAAGAGCCTGGGCTGAAGGGGGAGGAAGGGATGGGGTGACTTGGGAGGACGTCCCTGAGAACACTTGTCATGGAGCCAAGGACATGGTCAGCAGTTATCACAGGTCAAATCAGTTCAGAACAACTTCCCTGAGGTGTCCCCAGTGCCAGGTCCCAGGTTGAACAGAGCTGGGGACAGGAAAGTCTGACCTGAACTCCATCTTCCTCTAGGATGAGGAGTGGGAGCAGGCAAGTCTCAGTCTCTGCAGTCAGTGCTGCCATGCAGGGGCGGGATGGACACCACAGGATCTTAATGTCACCCCCTCTGCCTAACAGTGTCTTAGAAGTGTCAGGCTGAGCTGAAAGAGTAAATAGCAAGATGAAAGATGGAAAGGACTGGAATTCACCCCCCAAACTTCCTGAGGGCTCTCTATGGGCCAGATCCTAACACTGGCTGGTACCTGGGGATCCAGGGCCAGTCAAGTGGGGTCTGCTCCAAAGGAGTTCTCAGTCTGATGAGGAGACACCACAGAGAGTCAGGGGAGGGGTCAGAGAAGGTCCAGGGGGAATAAGCTGAGCAAAGTCAGGGTGTAAAACTGCAGAACCAAAGTCCCGCACTGCCTGTACCAGGAAGGTCCAAGAAACCCAGCTGGACAGGCTGGAAGGGGCAGAGGCATTTCTGTCCTTCAAAGTACTGCTGAGAATATGGGGCTTTATTTGGGGGCTATCAGAAGTCCATGGGAGGCTGAGAGCAGGAGAGAGGAGCCCGCAGCTCTTGTGTGGAAAGACCCTGTAGAAGCCAGGTGTGGTAGTGAATACCTGTTATTCTGCACTTGAGAGGCTAAGGCATGAGAGTGGAGAGTTCAAGACCAGCATAGGAAACTTAGTGAGACCCTGTGCGTTCCTAGAATCCACCAGTGAGGGTCAAGAGGCATGGCTCAGGGCAGTTAGCCAGCGTAGGTCAGGCTCTGGTGTCCAAGGGGAAGGAGAGAGGAGAGGAAGGAGGGAAGGAGGAAGGGAGCTTAGCTCTCTAGGGCTTTGTGTACAGAACAGACTACAGAACAGTAGACTTAAGGGGACCCAAGAGTCCCCATGGGAACCTGGATAGAGTCCTGATGAGAGACCCAGGGGCCATGGGGATGAGAGAGACCCAGGGCGCTATAGAACGATGCTGGGGTCTGCCAATGCTGAAAGGAACAGAGGACCCTCCAGAGATAGGTACTAGGAAGGAGCAGGGTGGAGGCTGCCGATGGAAGGCAGGGCAGTAAAAGTGGGTTTCTTAGTCTAGCAGAGCGCCCTCCACCTGCCATCTCAGCAGTTAAGAGGCTGAGGCCGGAGGACCACGAGTTTGAGGTAAACCTGGGATATACAGAGGCAAGTGTGTCATATACAGGGATGCATTTCTGTCTGCAGGGATGGTGATGGGGACAGACGGACCCAGCCTCACCCCAATTTTTGTCATCCTCCCCGCCACCAGATCTCCAAGCCCAGGACCCTCCTTCACAATGTGGCTTCTCCTTGCTTTCATCTTGCTGGTGTCTGCAGGTGAGGGACACCAAAGTTGGGTACTTGTCTGATGAAATGGGATTTCCCTTTCCCCAGAGTGTCTGAAACCTGGGACCTGTTAGCCCATACTTCACCCAGAGACCCCTTTATGATCCTACCTGGACCCCACCTGAGTCACCTGCCAAATGTCCCTGAATCCTCAGCCATGAGTCATGAGAAGTTCTGGAGGTGCCAAGCCACCTGAATCCTTGAACCTGAGTTCCAGGACCATTCCTTACTGCTGGGTAGCCTTGGGGAAACCCTTTTACCCCTCCAGGCCTCAAGTGCTCCCTACCTGTGACAGTCACTGTGAAGTCCTAATCACATCATGTAGGTGATGTACAGGACAAGCAATCAGGCTGGTTGAGACACCAAGAGCATAGGATCTAGGTTTGAATCCCGTGGCTGCCCGTTCCTCAACCCTGCAACGCAGCTTTCCCAACCATGGGATGGAGGTAACTGTCCTCCATAAAAATTCAGCATGGTGCTCCATGAGGTGTGTGAGCATTATGGAACAGTTTGGACACTCCAGGAAGGGCACATAGTATTTGCACATAATGACCACGTGAGGTAGAGGACTTGGGGAGACCCCCAGTCCCCACGTGAAAAGCCAGCAGTATGCCTGTAAAATCCCAGAGCTGGGAGGAGGGGATGGGAATCTCTGGGCTCACTGCCGTCCAGTCCAGCCAATCTGTAAGCTCTACGTTCAGTGAGAAAACCTGTCCCCCCAAATAAGCTTGGGACTGGTGAGATGGCGCAGATGGTAATGCCGTCAACCGTGAGTGGTTGAGTTCAGGACCCACACGATGGAAGGAGAGAACCACCCTTGCCCTCGTTTACCAGGTTGAAAGCAGGGATGACCACTAAACCAAGGTCACTCCAGGTGACAGGCCAACTCCAGACCAACCTCTGCCACTTCTTGTGGGAATTTCCAGTGTAACCTGATGCTTCCTGCCCTGGAGAAACGGGAGGGGGTGTCCATTAACGATCCCCTGCTCCCCACCTGACCTCGGCCCGGGGCTCTCAGCCCTCCCCCATGGCAGGCAAGCATCCCCTTGGGCTCTCCCTGTGCTCTGCCCGCTGTTGCTGCACCCAGCTGGGGCCTCCGCCCTCCTCCAGCTGGGACTGGCCAGGTGCAGCCCGATACCCAGCTGTTCAGTCAGTGCCCTCCTCCTCAGGGCGACCTCACCCTTCCTCTGTTAAGCCCCTCTTCTGCCACATCCGCATTCCCTTTGGACCTGTTCCTGACCTTGGAGGACAGAGGGCAGAGTGTGGACATTGGCTTGGTTGTCACACAGCCCAGGAGCTGGGTGTCTATCATGGTCTTGACCTTGGAAGAGTGGGACAACCACATCGTTCAGTATAAGGAACTGTGGCCTCAACTGTCCCAATTATGTCATTATATGTGATGCCATCCTCTCTCTCTCTCTCTGTCTCTCTCTCTCCCCCCCCACTTTGTGTGTGTGTGTGTGTGTGTGTGTGTGTGTGTGTGTGTGTGTGTGTGTGTGACTTGCTATCCAGAAGCATGAGCCAGGTGAGCTTCCAAGAGTGACCTTAAACATTAGAGATCCTGCTTTCTCTGTCTCTCCTGCTAGTATCTTTGACCTTGAAATCTCAGCTCTGTATCTGGCGGATCCGAATGTGGTCTAGGTTGGTGGGCACTGTTCATGTCTGAGTAGTCACCCTGTGGATGGGTATCTGGGTCTCTGAGTTCTACAGAATGACTTATGTGTAAAGCACATCTTTACATTGTGTGCACATGCACATGTGGATGCCAGAGGTCAGTATCAGCTCATTCCTCAGGCACTGTCTGCCTTGTTTTATTTTATTATTTTATGTGTGGGAGTGTTTTGTCTCCAGCCCCACCTTAGTTTTTTATACAGACTTTGTCAATGGCCTAATGCTCACTGATTAGGCCATGCTGGCCGGCCAGAGAGCACCAGGATCCAACTGACTCCAGGCACTGGAGTGATAAGCACGCACCACCATGCCTGACTTTTTACCTGATGCTAAGGATTAAAGATGGGTCCTTGTGCTCCCAAGGCAAAGACTTACCAACTGAGTCATGTCCCAGCCTTTAAAGTGTAGTTTTGCTGTTAGCTGTTGTAACTAGGTCTGTGCAGATGTCTGCCATGCTTTGGCCATACCTCTGTCACCAACCTGAACATCCACGTGGACACCCCCGTAAATAAATGGGTGTCCTTTGTTTAAAGGACCAAATGCACATGACTATAATCCCAGAACCTGAAAGACTTAAGAGACAAGGCTGCCATGAGTTCAGACCCCCCTGGTTACATTGTAAGTTTCAAGCCAGGCTGTGCAACAGAGTGAGACCCTGCCTCAAAACACCGAAGAAATAAATCAATTGTGTTGCAAGGAGTTACAATGGGCCAGGTACAATTCATACACAGGCACACGCAAAGGCACCCATAGGCCCCTCTTACCTTCACGGCCATCCCCACAGTTTTACAACAAGCACCAAGAGATCAACGTCTGCCTGGGGAGACAGCTCAGTCAGTAAGCTGCTTCCTGTGCAAGTATGAGGACCTGAGTTTGATCCTCAGAAGCTGTGTCACAGCCATGTTTGTAAGGCGGCACTGGACGGGGGAGACTCAGTGGGTCCCTGAGGCTCACTGGCCAGCAGGCCTAGCAAAGTTAGGGAGCCCCAGGGACAGTGAGAGTAGTCCAGTCTCAGTAATCAAGGCATTCATGCCTGAAGAAAGACACTGGAGACTGTCCTCTGGGCTACACGCATGTGTGTGCACCTGTGCATGCACAGACATGCAAACACAGGAGTCAACGCCTCATGGCAAGAACAGGCAGCAACCGTCAAAACCAGAACACACGGTTCCAAGACAAGTGTGTGTGTGTGTGTGTGTGTGTGTGTGTGTGTGTGTGAGAGAGAGAGAGAGAGAGAGAGAGAGAGAGAGAGAGAGAGAGACATGTATGCTCGCCTGTGCAGTGTAGGTGGAAGCAGAGTGTCTTCCTCCATCACTTCTTATGTATTTCTTTTTGTTTTAAAATTTTATTTCACAAAAAAATTATTTCATTTATAAGAGTGTGTAAGAGAGAGAGAGAGAGAGAGAGAGAGAGAGAGAGAGAGAGAGAGAGAGAGAGAGAGGGTGTCCCCAGAGGCCAGAGATTTCCTGGAGCTAGAGTTACAGTTAGCTGTGAGCCACCGCGTTGGTACCAAGATCTGAACTCAGGTTCTCTGCAAAAGCAGGGTGAGCTCTTAACTAGCGAGCCATCTCTCTAGCCCTCCATCTTTCCTTTCCTTTCTTTTCTTTGAGACAGAGTCTCTCGCAGACTAATCATCTAGCCCTGGGATTACACTAGCTAAACCCAAGCCCTGGCATCAGCCTGTCTCCCCTCCCCCAACCCCAGCACTGGGGTTACAGGCATGTGGGACCACACCTGGCTTTTTATGTGGGTGGTGGGGGTACAAACTCAGTTCCTCATGCAGCAAACACTTTACCCGAGGGGCTATCCTCAGCCCTAAGCATAGATATATTTTCTTCCTTCCTTTCTTCCTTTCCTTTTTTCCTTCTTTCTTTCTTTCTTTCTTTCTTTCTTTCTTTCTTTCTTTCTTTCTTTCTTTCTTTCTTTCTTTCTTATTTTCTTTTTCATTTTTCTTTTTGAGACAGGGTTTCTCTGTGCAGTCCTGGCTGCTCTGGAATTCACTCTGTAGACCAGGCTGGCCTCGAACTCGGAGATCCATCTGCCCCTGCCTCGGGAGTGCTGGGATTAAAGGAGGAGCTTTTTCCTTTCTTTCTCCTTTCTTTCTTTCTTTCTTTCTTTCTTTCTTTCTTTCTTTCTTTCTTTCTTTCTTTCTTTCTCCTTTCTTTCTTTCTTTCTTTCTTCTTTCTTTCTTTTTCCTTTTTTAAAGAAGTGATTTCTTAATGAACAAAGGGAGGGCCTGGGTGAAACCTATCATGAAAATAGGGTAAGGCGGGGGCGGGATAGGGATGCTGAAAAGGTGGGATCCACCCGTGTCTCCCGCAGCTCAGGATGGTGACAAGGTACTGGAAGGCGAGGAGTGTGCGCCTCATTCACAGCCGTGGCAAGTGGCCCTCTTCGAGCGCGGCCGGTTCAACTGTGGCGCTTTCCTAATCTCCCCACACTGGGTGTTGACGGCTGCCCACTGCCAAACCCGGTACAAAGGCAGGGGATGGGGGTCCTGCGGGGTGTGGCTGTGACTGGGGACGTCTAGGTTTGCGGTACATGGACTGTTGGGTACGTGGGGAAGTAACACAAGCTCTTGGTTTCTGAGGCTCGGGGAGGCTGGAGGCTCAGGCCCTGGGTGAGAAGGGGTGTGGATTCTGCCACCGTAGATTCCTAAAGGGGAAAGAGGAGGCTGCAAATGACCCATCTTTTGGGCCCCTGATGAGAGAGAGGTCTAGTGGGTGAGAATGTTCTCTTCTGAAGAAGGAAAGGGGCCAAACCTGGGATTGAGTTCCACATGTGTAACTGACTTGGGACTCCTGGTTTTGTTTATCTGCTCGTTTTTTGAGAGAAAGTCTCACTGTGTAGCCCAGGTTGCTCTAGAACTCACAGTGTAGACCAGGCTGGTTCAAAACTTAGAAAAACCCATCCGCCTCTGCCTCCCAACTGTTGGGGTTAAAGACATGTGCCACCACACTCTGCAACTCCAGGGCCATGGCTGGAACCACTGGTTTGAAGGACTTGAGAAAAGGAAAGGAGGTTTTTAAGGTTCTCAAGGGGTCAGAAAATGGCAGGTTGTCGACTCTTTGACTCCTTTGTCTGCTCCTTTCGGGTAACTCCTCACCCGCCCAGTTTCATGAGAGTGCGCCTTGGCGAGCACAACCTTCGCAAGCATGATGGCCCAGAGCAAATGCGATCCGTTTCTCAAATCATCCCACATCCCGGCTACGAGGCTCGCACCCATCTGCACGACATTATGTTGCTGCGACTTCTCCAGCCTGCCCGGCTCTCACCTCAGGTGCGCCCTGTGCCTCTGCCCATGCGCTGCCCCTTTACCGGCGAGGGCTGTGTGGTGTCAGGCTGGGGCCTGCTATCAGACAACAAGCCTGGAGCCACAGGGAGTCACAAGTCACAAGGTGCGTGGAAGGATGGCGCTGGATCTAGGATCCAGCAACGCTGTCCTCCAGGGTTCTTGGGTGGAGGGCACAGGGACCAAAGGGAGGGAATATATTCAAAGCCGTCTGTCCTCCTCAGTGAGACTCCCGGATACATTGCATTGTGCCAACATCAGCATTATCTCCGAGGCATCTTGCAACAAGGACTACCCGGGTCGAGTGTTGCCCACCATGGTGTGTGCTGGTGTAGAGGGCGGTGGCACGGACTCCTGTGAGGTCAGAGCCAAGTGGGGACTTTGGGTAAAAGTGGGGAATAAGGCGTATCTTAGCTTGCTCTTCTGTTGCTGTGATAAAATACTCTGACCAAAAGCAACTTGGGGAGGAAAGAGTTTATTCAGCTCTCAAGCTCACAGTCCATCATTGAGGAAAGGCAGGGCGGGAACTCAAGTGTGAGCCTAAAGCGAAAACCACGGAAGAACGCTGCTTACTGCCTTGCTCACCAGCTCCTGTTGAGCTGGCTTTCTCTTTCTTCCATTTCCCTTTCTCTCTCTCTCTTTCTTTCTTTTCCCTTCCTTCCTTTCTTTCTTTCTTTCTTTCTTCCTTCCTTCCTTCCTTCCTTCCTTCCTTCCTTCCTTTCTTTTTTATGTGTATGAGTGTTTTGCCTGCATGTATATCTGTGCACCACATGTGTGTGGTGCACATGGAGACCAGAAGAGGGCCTTGGGATTAAAATTACAGACAATTGTGAACTGCCTTGTGGGTTCTGGGAATCAAAGCTGGGTCCTATGCAAGAGCAGCCAGTGATCTTAACTGCTGAGCCATCTCTCCATGTCCTCAGCTCTGTTTCTTATACAACCAAGGCCCTTTCCCTAAGGGGATGGTGCCACTCACAGTGAGCTGGATCCTCCCGTATTGAACAACAGTGAAGACAACTTCCCACAGACGTGCTCTGGGCAACCTCTCAATTGAGACTCCTCAGATGATCCTAGGCTGTGTCAAGTTGGAAGTTAATTAAGACAGAATAGAACAAGTAGGATTATTTGAATTTTCTTTGCTTTGGGCCAGAGATAATGTTAAGTTCAGGTATGGGATAGATTTCCAGGAGCAGTTAGAATCATAGTGAGATTGGAAATGGGGTGGATTATATGGTCTGGGAAGCTAAGAAGGGGAATGAGTTTGGTTTGACTCAGGATGAGAAGAAGCATGTTGGGGTTGGCAGGGGATGGCATGGGTTTGGGGGAAGGGTGAAGAAGCTGTAAAGATTGGGATTGGGTTGTGTTTGGCGAGCACAGGTTTAGTTTGATTTTGAATGTGGAAGATGTATGGATTGGATGGAATCTAACTTGAACTTAGTGCTGTAGGGCTGGGGAATACGAGACAGAGCTAAACTCGGCAGGGGTGGGGGAGGTGAGCTCTCTTGGGTTGTGTTGAATCAGAGTAGGCTTAGATTGGTTTGGGGTAATACTGGAGTTTCCCAGGGTGAGGTTGGTTTGGGGTTTCACTGAGATGAAGAACAGTGGTTAGTTAGAACAAGGTTGACAGTGGGTTGGGCTTGTAACTCAGTATTGTCATAGCATGTACAAGGCCTGGCTTCCACCTCCAGCGCTGTGTGTACCAGGCATGGCAGTGCACACCTGTCATCCCAGCACTTGGGAGGTTGAGGCAAGAGGGTGAGGTGTTCATCCTCTCTCTACATGGAAGAAATACTGAGGAAAACCCTCCTTTATCCCCACAGGGTGACTCTGGAGGACCCTTGGTCTGTAGTGGTGCCCTGCAGGGCATCGTATCCTGGGGTGATGTCCCCTGCGATACTACCACCAAGCCTGGCGTCTACACCAAAGTCTGCAGCTACATGGAGTGGATCCGGGAAAACATGAAAACAAGAAACTGACTCGTTGGTCCACCACCTAGGTCCCTCACTAACCACCTGGGACCCTGACCAAGAATTCCCCGTAGCCAGCCAGCAGGCCCATTCCTACCGGAGACAGAGCTGAGTCCTCCTGCACATTGACATACACTGTTAGCCAGGGCCCCACCCTCCCGAGGTCACCTGCCGAACACCAAGAAAACAGTGTTTTCCCAACACTCTCGAGGCAGAAGCAGGCAGATCTCTGAGCTCAAGGCCAGCCTGGTCTAAAGAGTGAGTTCCAGGATAGCCAGAGCTACACAGAGAAATCCTGTCTCGGGGGGGGGGGGGGGGGAGAATAAAAGCAAGAAAGAGAGAGAGGAGAGAGAGAGAAAGAGAGAGAGAAAGAAAGAAAGAAAGAAAGAAAGAAAGAAAGAAAGAAAGAAAGAAAGAAAGAAAGAAGACAGTGTTGATCCAACTTTCTCTGTAGGGATGTGACTTTCTTTCTTTAGGGTATGATGGGAAATGGGTACGGACTAGGATACAAGATCTACTGTTCCCTGTCCCCTAGGGTCCCTTTCCCTGGGCTAGGGAACATGGTTTCAGGTATGACTTTGCTCATTTGGATCAGATATGGAATGTTGAATCAGGGGCCTGACCCCACTCATTCTTGGTTTTACCATCTGTGAAATGGGTCACCATAACCCTTGTCTCCTAGGGTGTCTGCAAAGATTAAATGAGTCATTCATCTTAATGGATCAGAACAGTGTCTGCCACTTTGTCCACACTCATGAACTGTCCATCCCAGTGAGAGAACCCAATACACACTAGATTTCCAAGAGTCACCATCAGTTCTAGGTCTCCTGGCAAACAAGACAATAAGGTCAGCATTCTCTTTTCCTTGGCCACATTGATGACATACAGTACAGACTCGTGAGCTGCCTTGCTGATTGTGTCCAGGTCTCAAGTTTGAAAACTCTGGCTTTACCATCAAGGCTATAGGAGTCCAGTTTCTGATTCTTTTCAGAGACCCCCAAAATGTGGTCCTTGGGGTCACTGAATGTTGAAGCCCTTGCTCTTGGTCATTGAAACGGATAGATTCTTAGATTGAGTGAGGGGTTGTCATTGCAACTTCTGATATTATTTTTATTTCACATATTTATTCATGGGTGTTCAGAGATCAGAGAACATATTCTAAGAGTTGACTTTCTTCCCCTACCATTGAGATTGAATTCAAAAGCTGTCAGGCTTGGTAGTAAACACCTTATCCACTGTCCATCGCACCAGCCTCAGAATATGTTCATTTATTTATTTATTGCTTCATGTTAGCCAAGGATGACCTTGGACTTCTGGTCCTCCTGCCTCCATACCCCACACACTGGTTTTACAGGCATGCACCACCAGACGGAGGGGGGCGGTTTACACAGCACTGTGGCTCAAACCCAGGGCCTCATGCATGCTAGGCAATCACCCCACCAACTGGCCTACGTTCCCAGTTCCGACCAACTCCCACACACACTTCTTTTGGAAGTCAGGGTCTCATATAGCTCAGACTGACCTAGAACTATCTATGTAGCTGAGCTGACCTTAAACTCCTGATCCTCCTCCTGCCTCCATTTCCCAGACTCTGTGATGATAATTTTGACTGGGGAAGGTAGTTAGTTCAAATCTTTGGGACTTTGAGGACATGACTTTGAGTACCCTTATCTAAGGAATAGAAAGGTCATTGAGACCCCAACACAGTTGGGGTGGGTGACACTCCCCTGGGATAACCTGAATTCTCATATTCTTGATGAGAGAATGTGGAGTCTAATTTCTATTATTTTTATTTTATTTTATTTTATTGATTTGTTTTTGAAACAGCTCTGTATATAGCCCTGGCTGCCCTGGAACTCACTATATAGACCAGCTGGCCTTGAATTCACAGGGGTCCACCTGCCTCTGCCTCCCAAGTACTAGGATTAAAAGTGTACACCACCATGCCTACTCCCAAACTTCTAACAAGAACAATAAAATCAGTGATCTAGATTCCAAGTCTAAGAAGGTAAGAATCCTAACATTCTCAAAATCAAGATTTGTGTTTGCAAGGAGCTTGTAGCCCTCCTGGCTACCACTGGTACCAGGAATTTGTTTTACTGCTGGTTTCTGAGGGCATGCTGGGTCTTGAGGTACAGGACCTTCCTTAGAGCTGTGTGATGGTGGTCACTTGCTCCCCCACCCTCCTATTGCACCCCTTCATCCCCACCACCTGACCTTGCTGTTCTGGCTATGGCCCCCAGATCACGCACAGCTCCAGGAGCAGCAGGCCCTGTCCCCCCCCCCCCCCATCTCAGCCCTGGGAAGGTATCCAGGGTGACCTAGAGCCTGCAGGACAGCAGGTACAACAGGTCCCTCCCTCCCACAGCTGTGGGGGTGAGAGTGGGGAGTCCACCTCCGTCAGCAAGGGCAGGGCCTTGGCCAGCATCTGGGTGCCAACAGGGCAGGGCCGGGGCTGGCGGGGGGGAGAATAAGGGTTTTTAAAGGCTCCCTGAGGAGGTTCCTCAGCTCCAAGCTCACCATCTGCTGCTCCTGGACGGCTGGTACCATGTGGTTCCTGATCCTGTTCCTTGCCCTGTCCCTGGGAGGGACTGGTGAGAGAGACAGCGGGAGGGGAGCGGGAGGGGCCAGAGCCCTGACTCTCCTGCTGCCTTTAGCCCTGGAAATCCCTTTCCCCTTTCCCCTCACCCCAGCACACCTGCACCTCCCCCCCCCCCCCCCCCCCGACCCCTGCACACTCACAGTCCTCATTCCCATATCAGGCCCTGTTCCTTCCCACTTTCCAGAACTTTCTCTTCTTCCCTAGCCACCTGATCATATCTCTGGGTCTTTCCAAAGGAACTTAGCCCCTTGCAGACCTTGGGACCTTGGTTGCCCCTCCAGTTTGCTGTTTTTCTAGAGCCCGATAGTCCAACTCCTGAGTTGGGGCTAACTTGGGCTGCCCAGCAGCTGCCAGCCTCCAGCTGTGTCCTCCAGTGCTGACAGCTGGTCTCCCATCCTCTCAAGTCCCTCAGTTGTCACCAACAGTCTTAGCTTGTGACACCTAGCTGGTGTGGGGGACCTGAACATGTCCCTTCTCACTGGGTTGGTTTGTTTGATCTGTTTTGGGAGGAGGAGTCGGTGGTGAAAGCCAGAGATGGACGTCGAGTGTCTTCCTCCATCTTATTTTTGAGGCGGGGTCTCTAACTGAATGAAGTGCTCCCCTCTTAGCTAGGTTGGCTGGCCAGCAAGCCTGGGGGATCCTGCTGTTTCCACCTCCCCAGCTCTGTGGCCAGCAAGCCTGGGGGATCCTGCTGTTTCCACCTCCCCAGCTCTGTGGCCAGCAAGCCTGGGGGATCCTGCTGTTTCCACCTCCCCAGCTCTGTGGCCAGCAAGCCTGGGGGATCCTGCTGTTTCCACCTCCCCAGCTCTGTGGCCAACAAGCCTGGGGGATCCTGCTGTTTCCACCTCCCCAGCTCTGAGGTTTCAGAACTCAGGACCTAATGCTTGTATGGCCAATACTGTAGCAACCAAGCCATTTCCCCAACTCTTGGGAATAAGTTGTGAAACCGGGTCTCATTATGTAGCCCAGGCTTGCCTCAAGCCCATGGCAGTCCTCTGCCTCAGCCTTCTGTGTGCTGAGATGACAGATAAGAGTCACCCGCCACGCCTGGGCTCCCTTTCCTCTGTTCCTAAATACCATGTTCTGGCCCGATCTTCCCTCCCACGCATGCCCCCCACCCTCAACCACAGGCTCCTGGTTGACTTCTTGCTCCTCACCAGCTCCTGTCCCCTCCCGACTGAGTCCCACTGCACAGCTCCAGTTTCCACTCTGCCCAGGACTTCCCAAAGACCCCAACACCTGAACCTAGTACCCCAGAGCAAGTGGGTCCTCCCGTCCATCCTGGTCTGACCTGTTTTAAATCCTTCTCCACTCCTGTCCCAAGGCTGCCTCTGAACCTCTCCAGTGCCCCCAGACCATTGGCCCCCACCTCCATGAGAAGCAGGGCCCTCCCCCACACTGCCCCAGCATTTCTTTCTCTCCCTTTGACCCATCTCAAACTCTGTTCTCAGGGAGCCCCACCCCTCTCAGATACCATCCCCACCACAACCCTAACAGATGCCCACCCCTAGCCTTAACCCTACCCTTCGACCTGGAAACCCCTCATTCTCCCCCAGCCCAGCTGGCCACTTCCTGTCCAATCCAGGAACCCCCAGATCATCTTGGGCTCCCTTTCCTGGAAGCCTCCGCTCTCATAGGCCCTGATTCCTCAAGCCCTGGAGACTGTAAATGCCAAATCTTCTTGACCTCTGATTCCACTCTCATTGGACTAAGAACCACTGGACTCTAGAATCCTCTCTCTCTCTCTCTCTCTCTCTCTCTCTCTCTCTCTCTCTCCTCCTCCTCCTCCTCCTTCTTCTCCCTCTCTCCCTCTACCTCTCTCTCTCTCTCTCTCTCTCTCTCTCTCTCTCTCTCTCTCTCTCTCTGAACATCGCCCTGCCAGCCCTTAGCCCAAAGTTCTAAGTGACCTGACGCCATACCTGATTCTTGCTTGCTCCATATGCCAGGCACTAGGCTATTTCTATCCCCATAGCAGAGATCTCCCTATCCAGGGCCAGCCACCTATGGGTCCCTTCCCCCAGATCACCTGGCCGGTGATCCCAACCCCGGTCAATTGTGCCCCCCCCCCAACAGCACACCTCCCTCTCTGAGCCAACCCCACCCCCACGGCTGTGTTGCAGGTGCTGTACCTCCCATCCAATCTCGGATCATCGGAGGATTTAACTGTGAGAAGAATTCCCAGCCCTGGCAGGCAGCTGTGTACCACTACACCAGTTTCCAATGCGGGGGCATTCTGGTGGACCCCGAGTGGGTGCTCACGGCTGCCCACTGCTACAATGAGTGAGCAGGGCTGGGGACAAGGAAGCAGGGTGGCAGCCAGGCCAAGCTGGGGTACTGAAGGATGGGAGGATGGGATCGGCTGAAGGTTGAAAGGAAAAAGGCAGAGCAGAGCTAGACCCCTCTATCCATGACCTCCTGGGTCTCTCTATGCTCCCTCCAGGCTTGTGTTTGATTCCTGATTCTTTCTTTTCTGTCTTATTGTCCGTGTGTCTCTTGTCTGTATTCACAGCTGAATGTCTCTGGGGCCATCTGTTGCTATATGTCTCCCCCTCTGGGGCTCTGCCTAGCCCTCTCTGGGTCTGGGTCTCACTTGTCCTTCTCCATCACTACTGACCATACTCGGAAACAGGCCTAAGGGGCTCCCTGAGGATAAGAAGGGATGTCCCCGAATACAGACGTGATAGAAGTCCTCACTCTCCCCAGACCAGCTCGGCCCTTAGGGCCTTCTGTCCACTCTGAGGACACACAGAGAAGGGCTGGTCTGAGCTGGAGCTGGATAAGGGCAACTGAGTACAGAGGGGGGGCAGGGTGCTAGGGGGGAGAGAGAACTCGGGCCTTGGGCTGTGGGCCAGGCCTGCCTGCTGGGGAAGCTCAGCCCAGTCAGCAGCTGCAGCTGAGCAGCTCTAACCCCTCCCTTCTCCCTGCCCCCTCTTCCCCTGTGTTCTGTCTGTCTGTTTCTCCTTCCTCCCTCCCTCCTTCCCTCTCCCTTTCCCTCCCTCCCCGGCACTCTGCCCAGTCTCCCTGCTTCTCTCCTCTCATTCCTCCATCCCTCTCCCTGCCCCCAGTGAGTACCAGGTTTGGCTGGGCCGCAACAACCTCTTTGAGGATGAAGCCTCAGCTCAACACCGGTTTGTCAGTGAAAGCGTCCCTCACCCTGACTTCAACATGGACCTCCTGGAGAACGCCACCCAAAACCAGAAGGAGGACTTCAGCAATGACCTGATGCTGCTACGCCTTGCCCAGCCCGCTGAAATCACCGATTCTGTGAAGGTCCTCAGCCTGCCCTCCGAGGAACCCACTCTGGGGAGCACCTGCCTTGCCTCAGGCTGGGGCAGCATTGAACCCATCAAGTGTAAGTCTGGGCCAAACCACACAGCCTGAAGAGGGACACCTGGGTCTGAAGGAGAAGAGAACAGGGCTAGGCTCCACTCACCACCCTCTTGCCCCCGACCCACAGTCGAATACCCAGATGATCTCCAATGTGTGCACCTCGAGCTCCTCCCTAATGAGGAGTGTGCCAAAGCCCACATCCATGTGGTGACAGACTCCATGCTGTGTGCAGGAGACTTGGAAGGAGGAAAAGACACTTGTGTGGTGAGTGGGCTCCTCCCTGAAGTGTGGTGAAGGGCTGAAAGAGGGAACCCAGATTCTTGATTCCCACTCCAACGCCCAGCCAGGCAGGCCTTCTCACCCTTCCCTACGGAAGTGATGAGCTCTGGGAGGGGAGAATCCTGTAGCTGGCACTACTTCACTTTGACTTGGCTTCAGCAACTTCCTGCCTGCCCCCACTCTAACCTCATGTCCCTGCAAGAGCAGGACCCCCCAAGAGCTGGAGTCAGTCTCAGGTTGTCAAGCAGAACCCATTTGCCAGGCCCTTCCTCACGCCTACCACTCTCCTGCTTTCAGGGTGACTCAGGGGGCCCGCTGATATGTGATGGTGTACTCCAGGGCGTCACATCATGGGGCCCTGCCCCATGTGGCAAACCCGACAGGCCGGGCATCTACACCAAACTTATTAATTTCATTCCCTGGATGAAAGAAGTTATGAAGAAAAACGCTAAGTGACACTCTGTCCCCTGCTCCTAATAAACCCACCATGCAGCAAACGAGCTCGAGTTCTGACATTCTCTGGCCTTCTGGAGTCGGGCTTAAGTCAAGGCCCAACCAGCTGAGGTCAGGACTTCCCTGGTGGATCTCAAGTTTGTGGCAAGGGACAAGTGTACGTGTACAGGTGGCCAAAGGGATGGGGCTGAGACAAGTGCAGAAAAAAGACTCAGACCAAGTCAGAGATGCCACCTGAGTCCACTCTGGCAAGGAAAAGGCTCAGATCTCAAATGTAAAGTTAGAGATGTCAGGAAAGTCGGCTCCAGCTAAGCTTGACCCTAGCTGGAGAGATAACAAGCAGTCTGGCACTGAGAATTTTGGACTGCCGACCTGGTTTTATTGAGTCGGGGAAGCCAGGAAGAAGGCGGGATGTTATATCAAGCCTTGACTTTCTGGGAGGGGTCTGTCCACAGAGGGGTGGGGACTGTCCCCAAGGCTGGGCTGCAGAGTGTCCGCCTGGGGCCCCTGGAGGGGATTCCTTGGGTGGGGCTGGACCAAAGGTTGGAGAGCAGCTTAGGGGCGTGGCCTGTGGGGCGATCATCCCACCCCGCTCTGGCTGCTTGGGACCATGGACCAGTGCCTGCTCAGAGGGACATAGCCACAGCCAGAAGTATTGGAGGACTTCCAGAGTGGTTTCCTTGCCAAGACTCAGCCCTCAAGGGGTGGGTCCTTGCGCAGGGGAGCGGGGCTTGCCGCCTGCCTCCCGAGGGTGCTGCCTGCTCTCATGGGAAGCATGGAACCTCAAGGGAGGTCTGATGGTGACGGAGTCACAGGGACAGAGGTGGAGGCATCTGGCTGCCGGGACTTCCCAGTGTCCTGAGAAGTTGCAGCAGACTGGTTCTGGATGGACTCCAAGCTCTGGTCCAAATTGGACTGCTGCTGGGATTGGTGTCTCAAGGCCCAACGGAAGTAGCTGACCCTCCGCTCCATGATAGGCGTACTGTAGCTCCCCCTCCGCACTTGGTTGAGGAAGGATAGAGTTCCTATGAGGAGGGACCCGGTGGATACTCGACTCTGAGCCCCACACCGGGCCCCACCCTGGCCCTGGAGGCTGGCCCCCTTTCCTGGGCTCCGCCCTTGCCCTGCCCAAGCCCCACCCTTCCATCCAAGGCCTCTCACCGGCCCACAGCATCAAGACACTGGCACACCAGCACAGGTAGAAGACCAGCAGGTAGGACACCTGTGGCCTCAGACGCAGCCTATTGCAGTTGATGACAAAGAGCATCAGGCTGAGGAGAATCAGGAGCCCTGCATTGGGATGGGGCCAGAGAAGGGCAGGAAGCTAGACAGGGGACCCCTCCCAGGAAGAGGAGAGACACAAAGACAACCTCCCTGACCTGCCACACTAAGTAGACACACATGTGTACACACACACACACACACACACACACACACACACACACACACACACACGACAAATTGAAACATACTCGGAGATGGGGAAAGGGAAAATGGGAAACAAAGCCATCAGCCATGACTGGTGTGCATAAGCCCTTAATCCTAGCTATCCAGGATGCTGAGGCAAGATATATATGTATATATTCAAGGCCATCATGGACTACAGAGTGGGATTAAGGCCAGCCTGAGCTACAGAGAAAGCCCAAGACAGACACAGAGATACCCCTGTCCCCCAGAGCAACAGAATTGGAAGTCTAGGCACACCTCTGGGAAGAAGGAGGCTCTGAGGTAGGGTGGGGGCTCCCCAAGCATCCCTGTCCTCACCGACACTTACCGACGCCAATGCTGAGGAAACTGAAGATGTAGTCAATCTTGTTCAAGCGGCGGCAGACTGGCCGGAAGGAGAGGAACATGGTGGGCAGGAGAATGAGGCACAGTGCCAGGGCCAGAAACATGAAGCCCTTGCTCATGTGAATGTAAACTGGGGAGGAGAGATGGAGAGACTACAGTTACCCCAGTGCACGAGCGTGTGTGCACACACACACACACACACACACACACGAACAACACGTATGCATTCTCTCTCTCTCTCTCTCTCTCTCTCTCTCTCTCTCTCTCTCTCTCTCTCATCATTCCCTCTCACACCATAAGGAGCCCAATGAATCTGTAAAATTACCCCCAGTACAGGGTCTGGTGGCGCACATTGTCATCCTAAGTATTCCAGTGGCTGGGGAGGAGTGCCGTTTCAACACCTGCCTGCGCAATTTTGTGAGACCTAGACCTTATCTGTCTCAAAACACGAAGTAAAAGAAGTCTAGGGGTCCTGAGGATGTTGCTTCATTGGTAGAATGCTTGCCTAGCATGTTCGAAGCCCTGCATTCCATCCCCAGCACTGTGGTAAACTGGGTGTTGGTGGCACTTACCTGTAATTCCAGCACTTGGGAGGAGGATCCGAAATTCAAGGTTATCCACAGCTACACATTGAGTTGGAGGCTAGCCAGGGCTACATGAGACCCTGTCTCAAACAAGGCAGATGATGGGAAGTAGCTCAGCACCTGTCTGGAATCTCTCAGTGAACAGCGGGGGGCATGGCTCAGTAGTAGAACCCCTGTGGAGTGTGTGCAAGGCCCTGGGTTCTAGCTTCAGCACCCCCAAAAAATGAAATGAAAAATCACTACCTCCACTCACATCACCAAAATCACTTCCTGGAAATTCTAAAACAACTCTACTGCCACTCACAGAGTTACCCTCCAACAATAATGCTCCCACATGAGCCCTAAGCTACTCCCCCAGAGACTCCTGACCCACAGCCACCTCTAGCACCCATTAGTAAGACCCACAGCCTATGCAACTGACCAGTGACTTGGCCTGTGTTGGCACACTTGTGCCTCCTGCAGTCAATCCAGAGGCCGATGAAGCCAGTGTAAGGACCGTGCACATAGGCCATCTGCCCATCCACCACGCTGAACACCAACAAGGTTGCCAGGGAGATGAAGACGAGGGACCAGCCACGCAGGACCACCTTTCGGTCCTCCTCCCAGGAACAGAACAGGTCACCTGGGGAGGGAGAAAGTTCTGGGGACCTGGATCTTCCTCCACTACCTCGCTGCATACCAACCTCTAGCCTCATCCTCACTTTCACTTCTGCCTCCCACCTCCCACCACCTCCTGTGGAAGCTGTTCCCAGTTCACCTCCAACACCACTTCAACTCCTTCCATTCACACTGGCCTTTTTGGATGCATTACTGCCCCACTGCTTACCCCAACTCAATGCCGGACCACCACACATTCACCAAGTCCCATCTCAAGTCCGCTCCCCTGTTCCTTGTGTGTCTCCACGGGGCTTCTCCTACCTCTAAGACCTGCCTGACCCAGGGGCCTCAATGCAGTATGCCTCTCCTTGGGACAATTTCATGGGTTTGGATTTGGGTTTTGCTTTTGTTTTGAGACAAGGTTTCGTGTTGCCCAAGCTGGCTTCTAACTCACTAGAGAGCCAAGGACCACCCTGAACTCCTGATCCTTCTTCCTCTACCACCCAAGTACTAGGATAGCAGGTGTGCACCAACATTTTGGGTTTATGTGGTGCTGGGGATGGAACCTGGGGCTCTGACAAGCCCTGCCTGCGCTCTCCTGAGTGAGCCACTGCCCCAGCCTTCATTGCTCACTTTTTCCTGGCCTTCCACAACCACCTACCCTTCAATTTCTCTTCTTTCCATCTCCTTCCCTGAGCTCAGCCCATACTCAGTCCCCAGAACTCTCTGTTCCTGCTCAGTCAATCTGTTAGATGTTTCCATGGTGTGAGGTACATCTCCTTCACTGGCAAATCACAGATTTACAATGAATTACTTGCTAATTGTTTTTCCCCTCACCAATCCTCTGAAACAGTGTTTCATGAGTGTGGGAAACATATCTATTTTGTTCTCGGGTGTACTCCCATCACTTAGCAGAGAGGCTGTGGTGCTTGTTAAATAAAAGGAGTAAATAAATGAATGTATGAATGGATGTATGCATCCATGAACGCACACATGAGCGAATGCGTAAGTGGACACATGAATTAATGGAAACAAATGCATGAGTGGATACATAAATGAATGAGCGCATGAATGAGCTCATGAATGGATGAATGTGTGCATGAACAGATGTGTGCATTAATGGGACCAGAAATGGTAACTCCTTTCTCATCCTTTATAGAAGAGAACAATGTAGTTTTCAGAAGAACTTAGGCAGAGTCTAAGGAGTCTAGGACTCGGAGAAGAGCTTGGTGGCCAACTGATCACTCCTCAGCTGGTCTGGATTCAGGCTGGCCTGACCTTCTTGGAGTGGATCACACACCCAGATCAAATGTGATAAATGCTATGAGAGTTGAAATAATCTAGATATCCAACAGGAGGGGATATGTCTGAAACATGCAGCAGGCACACAGTAAGTAGGTAGCAAAGGATATGTATTCCTCCTTTTCTATAACAGAACCCAGGCTGAACTCTTGATTTTTTAATTTTTTTGAGACTGAGCTTCCCTATGTAGGTCTGACTGGCCTGAATTTACTCTGTAGACCTGTCTGACCTGGAACTCACAAAGATCCACCTGCCTCTGCCTCCTAAGTTCTAGGATCAATGGTGTGCACCACCATATCCAGCTCCCAAGATGAACTCTTAATGGGGCTTTTGGAGGTGTGTTTGGCATTTTCTGGTTGCTGTTTCTTGAGAAAGGATCTCACATAAGCTCAGGCTGGGCTAACTTTGATATGTACCTTAGGATCATCTTATACTTCTGATCTCCAGGGATGACAGGCAATGCCTGGTTTATGTCAGGCTAGGATGGAACCCAGGGCTTTATGCTAAATGGATACTCTACTGAGCTATGGCTCCAGCCTTGACTTTGTGGTTTTGGTCTGAGGGTTTGTTTGTGTTTGTTTCTTTTCACATTTATTTCTTTATTTGTGTAGTTAGGAAGGGGGAACATGAGTGCCGTAGAATACGTGTAGAGGTCAGGAAAAAAACCTAAGGGAGTCAGCTCTCTCTTTCCACCATGTGGGTTCCAATCATCAACCAACTCAGGTCCGCAGGCTTGGCACCAAGCGCATTTACCTGCTGAGCCAGCTTACTGACCTGGATTTTGTTTTGTTCTGTTTGTGGTTGTTTCTTTGTTTGTGTTTAAATACGATTTCAATATTGGTCTGGAACTCACTAGGTAGAGCAGACTCACTTTGACATTCTGGAGATCCTTCTGCCTCAGCATACTTAGTCCTGGTATTCAGGAGTGCGCCGGCTAGTCCAGCAAGTGTTTATGATTTAAACCACCATTGTTGCATTTTGAAATTTGGTTCCAGTAGCCAAAAAAAGTATCTCAACAATGGAATATAACACACTTTGTGCCATTTTAGAATGCAGATTTCTCTTAGATTTTGGTGTCGAGACAGGGTCTACCACGTAATTTTGGCCTACCTAGAACTCACTATGCGTATCAGGATGGCCTTGAACTCAAAGTGATCTTCCTGCCTCTGCCTAAGTGCCAGGATTACCAAGCCTGGCTCAAAGATGCAGTTTTAACACCCTTAAAATTGGAATGCATCGTACAGTCAGGCACATCTCAAAATTCACCTTTGACTTGTAAAAATAAAAAAATTAACATCTACTAAGGCCAGGCATAGTGGTGCACACCTTTAATCCCAATACTCGGCAGGCAGAGGCAGGCAGATCTCTGTGAGTTCAAAGCCAGCCTGGTCTACATAGTGAGTTCCAGGCCAGCCAGGTCTATGTAAAGAGACTCTGGCTCAAAACAACAAGCAAACAAAAGAATAGCACCTGGCTCCTCAATATTTACATAATCACTGAAATATGATCAAGCTTGACATAGTGGCACCTGTCCGTGATCTCAGCACTTGAGAAGTTGATGCAGGAGGATTGTTATGAATTTAAAACCAACTTGGGCTACATAATAGATTTAGGGCCAGCCAGGACTAAACAATAGGACAATCAATCAATCAATCAATCGAGGGCCAACAAGGTAGCACTCAACAAGGTGGAGGTTTTCCCCACCGAGGCCAATAACCTGAGCCCAGTCCCTACAATCCACATGGTGGAAGGAGAAATTGATTCTGAGAAGTTGTCCTCTGACCTCCAAACACTCTCTGTGGTACACACACACACACACACACACACAGATAAATAAGTAAATAGATGTGATAAATAAGTAAATAAATGTGGAGCTGGAGAGTTGGCTCAGCAGTTAAGAGCACTTACTGCTCTTGCAATGGACGATGGTTCGGCTCTCAACACTCTCAGCCAGGAGGCTCACAACTGCCTATCAGTGCAGATCCAGAGAATCTGACACCCTCTTCTGGCCTCTACAGGTACTGCAGGCACATGGCGCACATACAAACACACAGGCACTCACACATACACATAAGAAAATATAAATAGGGTCTGGAGAGATGGCTCAGCAGTTAAGAACACTGGCTGCTCTTCCAGAGGACCCAGGTTCAATTACAAGCACCCACATGGCAGTTCACAACTGTCTGTAACTCCAGTTCACATAGACATACATGCAAGCAAAACACAAACGTACATTAATAAATAGAATTTTTTAGAAAAAGAAAATATAAACGAACCTTAAAACAAACAGATATAAAAATAAAATCTAATAATGTGGGTGTTTGTATAATAAACAAAGTTTGTGAGTAGTTTTTCCTCTGAAGTTCATCAAAAGAAAGTTAAGGGGAAAGAGCAGAATGTTTTCTATTGTTGTTTTTGTTGTTATTATTTTGAGATAGCCTCTCACTCAGTAGTCCAAGATGGGCTCAAATTCAATGCAATCCTCCTGCCTCTAAGTGCTGGGACTGCAGGCATGCACCATCATACCCACCTGGGGGAAGAGGATTTCAAAAGTCCCTCTCCCTGTGTGGGATGCCTTACTAAGCTGTGGCTGGGTCTTCCTCCCTGCCTGACCCCAGATCTGAAGTCTTCAGGAGCAAGGAGCAGATTCAGTCTTCTGTGAGGTCTCGGGAGAGGATGAAGGGAAACAGAGCCAGAGGAGAAAGAAAAAGGAACAAAGTGAGACCCAGAGGCAGAGAAGGAACAAAAGACAGAAACTGGTTCAGAGCAGGCCTGGGAACGGAGGGAAAGACACGAGTAGGCGGAAGGAATTGTAAGTTCAGATCTTCTAGAAACTAGAATTCATCTCACACATGCTGCCCTGACTCTCAGTCCTGCCTGGCCCTGATCCTAGCCAGGTCGAGCCCAGACCTTCACTAACCCAGCATCACCCTGTCCTACCCAATCCAGACTCCACGTCCCTCTGACGCAGCCCAAACACCCAGGTCACTCACGAAGGTCTACGGTGGAGTCTGAGGCCATGGCCAACCACAGCCTCTTGGAACCCCTCCAACTGTCATAGAACCCACCCCACCCCCAGCTGCTGCCCAGCCAAAACCCCTGAATAACTGTCTGGGGACAGAGAGACAGACAGCAGGAGCCACAGACAGAGGGACACATAACTTTAGAGTTAGACCTACAGGTGTCCAGATGCCGTGGGAGTGCCTGGAAGCAGAGGCTCACGCAAACTGAGTACACTCAGGAACCAGCCCCATCTCGCTTCTCCACATGGACCAGCACTCCTCTGGCCCCCAGAGCAAGGGGACAGCAGCTCCCTATAGCAGAAAAAATGAAACCCAAGACTCTCTGAAAGGGACTTCCAACCTCCCAGATGCCACCCAAGGTCATCGGATCAACATACAAGCACCTGTGCCCATCATCCACACACAAGGACTCAACAGCCAGGAGCCATCGACATCCATACCTCACCGAAGGGTGAGGATCCAGGAACCACCAGCATCCACCTTCCTTCCTTGGAGGCTCAGCACCCAAGCTTCTTCCCCATCCACCATTCTCCCTCAAAGGCTTAGCACTCAAGAGACCCCTTCTCAGGGTTCCCAGCCCAATACACAACGTGTACAATCTGTTGGCTACAATCGCTGTCCCAGTTCCAGAGAGAGCTCTTCCCTTTCCCATAAACACCGAGTCAACATCCTAAACTCTCACACCCTGAGCAATGGCCAGCCAGAAATCCACAGCTCACAAACTGACGCTGACAGTCCCCTCTCCTTGATCCCGTCACACAAACTCAACAGAAAACAAAAGCGGCCCAGTGTGGACGTCCCCCCATCCATAACCTGCAGCCCAGAGGCCAGCATCGAGAGCTTTGAGTCCTTTGTCTGGGACTCCAAGGATAGTTTAAGAGGACATTTACACAGCCCTCTGTCCATTCAGAGCACTGTAGGCGGTTTCTCCAAACTGGCAAGCCTTTCTACTGCAATGGGCTCCAATAGGTGAGGAGAGGAGAGGAGAGGTGCAGAGGGGCCACAGTCAAGCCTGGAGTTGTATAGCTGCATTTGAAACTAGAGGTATAGCACGGGCTAGAGGGGTACTTGAGTGAAACATAAGGGATTTGAGCAGATGCAAGGTAGATGAGGTCTGGTGTTTTGTTTTGTTGGGATAGGGTCTCTCTATGTAGACCAAGCTGACCTTGAACTCAGATCCCCCTTCCTGTCTTCTGTGCTGAGATTAAAGGCATGTGCCACCATGCCTGGCTTCTCAGATGGGGTCTGAAGATTGTTGTGGGGTGGCTGGGCAGGGTAGATGGACTTTCTGCTGATGCTGGTCACATGATCTGTCACAGGACTCAGAGCAAACACTGGCCACTGCTGCGCATGGGCTGGATGCTGTTGCTGCAAGCCAAGAAGATCAGCCAGTACCTTAGCCTGGTGCTGACTGTGGTCGGCATGCTAATGCTTAACCTCATTGCCTTCTGGCAGCCCTGGATCCACTTCCAAGTGCCTCTAGTGCCCTCAGGGGACCCCACTGGCCCCAAGACCATCCCCATCGACACCACCTTCTTCATAGGCTGCCCTGACGTCTCCTGCATGAATGACTATGGTAAGAATGCTTGTAAGGTTGGCCCTGTCCCTACCCATTCTGAGACTCAAGTGTCCTCTTTGTCTCAGAGAAGCTCAAGGAATAGTTTCTCCCTCCTTAGGCTACTCTTTGGTGCCCACACAACTTCTTCATGCCCAAGAGCCTGATGTCACTGACCAAGAAGTCTATCTCACATACCGGATCTGATGCATCCAATACCCAGTTTTTAGAGGTCAATGTTGGTTTGTGTGTGTATGTGTAAATGTGCAGTAAGTGTGTGTGGAAGCCAGAAGATGGCTTCAGGTGTCTTTTTTCAGGACCCATCTTAGTAGGGGTTTCAAATACTGTGATGAAGCACTCTGACCAAAAGCAACTTGGGGAAGTTTTTTCCTCTTCAGTGAATCAGCATCAGTTGCAGCAAAGCAAAGAATTCATTTTCATGGTCCTTACCAATCCTAGGTGGCTTTCAACCACTTGTAACTCCAGTTCCGGGTAATCTACTGCCCTCCTCTGGCCTCTAGTAGAGTGTGTGTCTGTCTGTCTGTCTGTCTGTCTGAATGTATGTCTGTATCTGCATGTGTCAGTGTGTACGTCTGCCTGTATCTGCATATGTCAGTGTGTGTGTGTGTGTGTGTGTGTGTGTGTGTGTGTGTGTGTGTGTATGTGTGTGTGTGTGTGCATTTGGAGGCCAGAGGTTAATGTTAGGCACTTTCTCAATCACTTTTCTTTTAAATATTTATTTATTGAAGTTCTTACTATGTAAACCAGGCTAGCCTCAAACTCACAGAAATCTGCCGCCTTCTGCTTCTCAAGAGCTGAGATTAGAGTGATGCCCTACAATGGCCATCTGTTTTAAAATCTTTATGTGTCTGTGTGGGTATGTGTGTGGGTATGTGTACATTAGTGCAGGTACTCACAGAAGCTAGAAAAAGGCATCATAGTCCCTGAAACTAAAGTTACAGGTGGTTGTAAGCCACCTAGAGTGGGTGCTAGGAATTGAACTCAGGTCCTCCAGGACAGCAGGGAGCACTCTTAACTGTTAAGCCATCTCCTCAGCATGGGCTTGGTGCTCTTGATTCTCTTCTTTTCCCAGACTTGCTGGACCTGGCCTGGGCCTGCCTCCTCATCTCTGGTATCCTGAGTTTCTGTGTGTGTATGGGTCTCATCAGAACCATATTCTTCTCCAGCACCAACACGCCCTCGATGGACTTCTTTCTCTTCATCTGCAGCCTCATGACAGGCATGTTACTATGATGCTTCCCATGGGTGCCCATTATAAAGGCCAGCCACATTCCCTCTATACTCAGCCCTCCCCATCCTCATCTTCAGCCCAGCCCTACCTCCTTACAAATCCCCAGCCATCATGTTGCGTCCAGGCCTGAAGCAGCCTCATCTCTAACTACCGTCTCATAGCCAGCAGATCCCAACCCCTCCTCCCCGACACCTGTTCCATCCACCCCTATCCTATCCCGACTCCATCTTTTCCCAAACCACACTCCTTACTATCCTCAGCCTCTTCACAAATCTCAACACCCAACTTGGCCTCAAGCCTCATTACCCTCCATGGCTGTCTCAAGGTCAGCCCAGCCCTGCCCTTCTGAGAAGTTCAGCCTCACTCCCAGGCCCTGGCTTCACCTCCTTCTCATTCCGCACTCCAACTTAGCAGCTATGAACTTCCCTCGGAAACTCATCCCAAGCGATTCCCAACTCCATCGTCTTCTTCAACCCCACCCCAGGACATCTTCCACCTAATACATCCCCAGCACAGCCTGGACTCCAACCTTTACACATAGCTCCATGTGTGGTTCTGTCCTACCTTCCCAAGAGCATTTCCTTCAAGCTACTTCATCTCTCCAAGTCATACTTTTCTCATCTCTTGAGTGAGGATACATTTCCATTTTTCTTTTTTTAACTGGGTCTCAAGTAGCTGAGGCTGACCTTGATCTACATAGAAATGCAGCCAAGTATGTCCAGAATGTCTGTGAACTTCTGATCCTCCTGTTCCCACCTCCGTGGTCCTGGGATAACAGGTGTGTGCTGGCACACAAAGTTTCTGTGGTACTGGAGATGGAACCCAGGGCTTCATGCATGCTAGGCAAGCACTCTACCAACTGAGCTACATCTCATCCTACTACAGATAAAATTTTTCTGTCATGTGATGATGTGGGGAGTGTTCAATTAGAAAATGTTAACTCTGTTGTCTTTGAGTCCCCAAGTTGGTTCATCTGATCTGACTAGCTAGGCAAGTGTCCCTTTCCTCCCCCACCCTCCATTGTAAGTCCCTCCTTACCCAGTAGAGAAGGGATATGCTTTGGTTAAGGTCATATAAATAACTGAAAATCCCCTGGTAAAACCTCCAGACAAACTTCCAGGACCCATCAAGGCACACAGGTTAGTGACACATCTAAGACTCCAGGCATATGTAAATGAGGAACTCTAGGTGGTCTCCTTTGAGAAGTCATGAAGAGTGGCACGGGTCTAAAATGCCAGCATTCAGGACGCTGAGGTGTGAGGATGATAAGTGAGATTTAGAGGGGTCAGCACTGGATGCTGGTTTGTTAGCCCTTACTACGGTCATCCTCCAGGTGATTCAAAACTGACATGCTGATTAGAACGTCTGTGTCCACACACGTGTGAGATTGCAAAAGGTTGATGGCATTTTAGTTTGGCGTTGACTGGCATAGTCCGCCTGTCCTTGGCAGTAACTGAGCACAGCTTCCAGCTGTGGTACGAAACATTTCTGGAGGGGAACAGCACTGCTGAGAACAGAGAGCAGGCAGCTCCTGTCTGCTGGTCGCTAGCTGGCGTCTGCTCTGTCTGTAGCTGGATCATCAGCGTCTGTTTCTGGCCGGGACTGCTGAGGAATCCCAGCCACCTTCTGCTTCAGCCTCTCGCTTGCTGGGATGAAGGCACCACACCTCTAACTACAGTTGTCGAGACTGGAAAGGCAGCTGGTGGTTAAGAGCACACAGTACTCTTGCAGAAGACCAGAGTACTGTTCCCAGAACCCACGTGCAGCTCACAACCGCCTGGAATGCCAGCTCTAGGGGCAGCTGGTGCCCTCTTCTGGCCTCTGTGGGCACTGCATCCAGTTGTGAACCCCAACCCCCCTACAACACACACATACATATAATTAAAAAATGAAGTAAGTTTATTTCAACATAAGTCACAGTAGGTAGAGAACACCTCAGTTTAAAATGAGGCACTTTCAGTCAGATAATCCTATCCTGTTCCAACTGAACACAAAGCACTTCTTATATTATTTTCATAACTTAAAAAAAAAAAAAGCCCCAGTTCTGTTAAATCTGGGTTTCTTATTTTTCTCCCTTTTTACAAAGTATCTTCATTCTTGTCGATTCAAATTGCCCAAAATGTTTGAACTCTCTCTGCGGCTCCAGAATCCCAACATTAAGGAGCCAATAATAATGAGAATTATCCTAGTCTTTGAGGTTTACCATGGGTTAGGATACATAACAATCACCACATACCCTCATGATGGCCCTCACAGATCGGTTGGTGGTTATACCCACTGTACAGATGAGGCTATTGAGGCTCAGGCACATTAGAGGCTGCTCCAAAGAAAGGAGCAGAAGCAGGGTAAGAGGCCTGGCCTGCCAGTTCCAAAACCTCCCAATGTCTCACATCAGGGTACTGTCAGGAGGCCATGGGGGGAGGTCAGGGTCTGGGTATCAATGACACTGGAGACAATGTGGTGGCACATGCTTGCAGTTTTACAACTTGGAGACTAGAGCAAGTTATCAGCTAGTTCATCAGCCTGAACTACATGAGTCCAGAGCTAGCCTGGGCTATAAAGAAAGCTCTCGTTTCAAAATGTCAACAACCAAAAGGAAGGTAAGAAGTGAAGAAGGGAAGTGGGCAGAAAATGGAGAGAGAAACAAAGGGGAGGAAGCACGGGAAGAGAAAAAAGAGGGCTGGGGATGTAGCTCAGTTGGCAGAGCACTTGGCTAGGGTTCCATCCCCAAACTGCACACACTGAGCATGGTGACGCGTGTCTAAGACAGGAAGAGTTCAAGGTCATCTTCAGCTGTGTAGGGAGATTGAAGAAACCAGCACGATAGTGGGAAAGCCACAGCCATGTGACTAAGCCTGTGGGGGGCTCACAGCTGGTCCTGGTCTGTGCTACACAGGGATCAGCATCATTCTGGGGGTCCTGTTCTACCTGATGCAAGCCAGAGAGTTCTTACAGGAAGGCATGACCTACACGATGGGGAGCAGCTTCTACCTGGCCTGGATCAGTGTCTTCTTCTTCTTCATGATTGGTCTGGCTGGCTCGGGTGTGGCCTCAGTGGTGCAGATGATGCTGTGGGGATTGTTAGGAATGGGGGTCGGGTTGCACACAGGGCCGGGGACAGTGGGACTGGGCTTGGGAGTCAGGGTTAGGGATTCTTGTAGGCTTGGGGTGGGTTGGGGACAACATGAGAGTGGAGTTGATTCTGGATTTAGGGATGGGGCACACAGTAAGGGCTAGCCTACTAACCTCTATGTCTTCTCTGCCCTCTTTCTCAGGTCTCTTCTCCTATCTGAACTACATGAACTTCTGGTCCATCCTGCCAGTCCAGGCCAGGTGGTCCTAGGCCATGACAATGAACTGATACCCATGTTCTACTCTCACGGCTGTCAACTGCCTGACGAGCTCACTCTCCATGAGTTATGTAACTTCTGACTCCCCTCAACCCAGAGTAATAACTTACATTTTAAAGAAAAATATCTTCTGCTCAGAATATTTCATCACTTGGCTTTGTATTTTGAAAGCACATTGTGGAACTGCCATACCCTCCCCCGCAACATACACCTTGTCCATTTCGGGGCTACTCTTAAGTAGAGGGACAGAAAAGGGACTCAGGGGTAAAACATCAAAGGTCAGCAAAAAGACTAGGGTGAGGATCCTTCGCATATACACAGTGCTTTTTTGTTTGTTTTTTGAGACAGGGTTTCTCTGTGTATCCCTGGCTGTCCTGAAACACACTCTGTAGATCAGGCTGGCCTCAAATTCAAAGATCTGCCTGCCTCTGCCTCCCCGAGTACTGGGATTATAGGTGTGTGGCACATGGTGCTTAATGTTTATTGACTTACCCCATGTCTTAACTTCAACCTTTAGTTCTTTTGATTTCTATTGTGGTTTTTGTTTTTGAGACAGGGACTCACTATGTTGACCAGGCTGGCCTGGAACTCATAAAGATGGGCCTGCCTCTGCCACCTGAGTGCTAGGATTAAAGGTGTGCCTCACTGTTCCGCAGCTCCAACCTTTAGTTGTATAATCAATAACTCCCCTTTTCTGAGAAAATCCTGCTCAGGTCCTCAACTCACCTCCCATCCTTTCCTGCAGCTTCTCCCCTAGCCCTACTCTTCTTCCCAAAGGCCCTCAAACACAATCCTGCTCAATGGAGGGCTCTAGGAGGGAGGTGTGGGGCCAGTAGACAGCTGCTAAATAGGAAAGGGTTGATACGGAAGTAAAAAGCCCATCACTTCCCAGGTCCCCCACCACCTACCTCCTGCAGAGGGGAATGAGGCTCCCCCTTTTTCTTATTCTCACAGGTCTACAGACTCTCACTTACTAGCTCTATGACTCACAGCAAGGTTGACTTGGGACTCAGTTTTCTTGTCTACAGAGTAGAGGCAATGATCTACTACACAGGTCCAACTTTTTGACATCACCACATGATAATATTATCTACAAAGTTCACATCCAAGAACTGCACAATCAAAGGGCTGGAGAGATGGCTTAGTAAAGAGTGTTTGCTTGCTTTCCCAGAAGACTGAGTTCAATTACCAGCATCCTTGTTGGGTGGCTCATGCTACCTGTAACTCCAGCTCTAGGGGATCTGTTGCCCTCTTTTGGCCTCTGCAGGTACTGCACCCACGCATACACAAATAACCCCCAACACACACACACACACACACACACACACACACACACACACACACACACACACACACACACAAATAAAAATAAATTTGAAAACAAAAAAAAAGAACTGCACAATTGTGTTATCAAAAAACCGCAAGGGGCTGGACAGATGGCTCAGCTGTTAAGAGCACTTGCTTTTGCAGAGGACCAGGGCTTGATTCCCAAAACTCACGTGGCAGCTCACAACCACCCTTAACTCCAGTTTCAACACTCTTCTGACCTCTGAGGGAACCAGGCACACCCGTGGCACACAGGCATACATGCAAGCATAACATTCACACATATAAATCCAAAATAAATACATTTTAATTTCAAAAAAAATTTAGACACTTTCTCATGTATTCCAGGCTGGTTTGGAACTCACTATGTAGACAAGATGGAACCTAAATTCTGAATCTCTTGTTGGCATTACAGTTGGCCACAACCATGCCTAGTTTACATAATGTTAGGGATTGAAGCCAACACTTCCTACAAGCTAGGCAGGCCCTCTAACAACTGAGCCGCATCCCCAGCAAATGTGTCCATTTTTAAAGATGAGCTACAGCTATATGCCTTACACTAGATCTGTAAGAATGATCAAATAAACACAGTCCCCAATCCTGTGCAGAGGAATACAAAATCTGTGCCTATAAGGAACTAGATGAGATGTGAGGGAATCCATGCTATGAGGAAAGAGAAAGGAGGCGTCTTATTTATCTTTCTGTTGCTATGATAAAACACCCTGGTAAAAGCAACTTAAGGGAAAAGGTTCACAGTTAAAAGTACAGTCCATCGCCTGGGGGTAGGGGGTCAAGGAGGCAGGAGCTTGAGGAGGCAGCTAGTCACATTGCATCTGCAGTCAGGAGGCAGAGGGACACGGACACTGGTACTCAGCTTTCTCCATTTATACAGCCCATAACCCCTACACACAGGCAGATCGTCTGGAGTGGTGGTAATCTGGGGATTCTTTGCCAAGATGACAGATGAACAAAGGTGACTGGAGAAGGAGGGAGTGTAATGAGTTTGTCTCTGTCCTGCCAGCCAGCTCCCAAATGACATGCAGACTTATTATTAATGATAAAAGCTTGGCCTTTAGCTTAGGCCTGTCTCAACCAGCTCTAATAACTTAAATTAACCCATATTTTTCAATCTGTGTTCTGCCACATTGGCATTACCTCTCTTCCACCTTGAGCCTCCCATTTCCTCTCCATGTCTGGCTGGCAACTCTGCCCTTCTTCTTCCCAGAGTCATCTGTCCTCTGGAAGTCCCGCCTAACCTCTTCCTGCCTAGCTATTGGCCACTCAGATCTTTATTAACTCAATCAGAAGACACCCTGGCAAAGATACATCTTCACAGTGTAAATAAATATTCCCCAACAAGGGAGCCGTGTGGATTGGAGTTGCTTGAAATGCAGAGAGAATGGTACATGGCAAAGGTCCTGTGGCAGAGAAGGGCTTTGCAGGTTCCACAGAGATCAAGAAGACCACAAGTGAGGAGGAAGGTACGGCGGCCCTGAGAACACACAGAAAGACACCACTACCAGCCTTGTTGAGAATATTGCCTTTCCTCTGGTGTGAGCCAGCGGCCATAATGGAAACTCATTCACATACCTAAGAGAGGAATCAACTCCTTTCCCTTTACTTCAGACCATTAGGTTCCAGGACCAATCTCCTCAATGGAAAGAAGAAAGAGCCCTAACGAGCAGGGGTCAGCTGAACAAAGGACACTCGGGTCTCATGAAGGATTGCAGCTATGGCTTAAAGAATGTAACAGCTCCATAGGCACTGATATGGAAACACTATTTGGAGAGCAAATTGAAGAAGAGGAGAAAGAAAAACCGTTACCCAATGTGTATGTTCGTAGAGTAAAAAAAAATCCATGCCCAACTGTGTGCTGTGTGAACTTGTGAAATGGTATGAGGTACAGACTTTTTAAAAACAAAAACAAATATTCTATTAATTTTGTGCTTGAGACACTCCAGCCCAACCAATAATTCAGAACCCTGACCTTTCTCCCTAAGACCTATGGGTCCAGACCCCCACCTCCTTCCTCAGACCCAGGAGTCCATATCTCAGCCTCAATCAGACCCAGAGGTCCACACCTCAGCCCTCCTCCCTTAGATGGAGAGCCAGGTCCCAGCCCTCCTCCCTCAGATCCAGGGGTCCATACCTCAGCCCTCCTCCCCTAGACCGAGGTCCAGGTCCCAGTCCTCCTCCCTCAGACCCAGCGGTCCAGATGCAAGCCACCCTCCCTCAGGCACAGGGAATCCCCGCCATTCCGCCCTAGCGTCTCTCCTAAGACCCTGCCCATCACACCATCACAGAGCATATTCGCCTCTAACTGCACCGCGCCGTGCTTCCCTGTAAGTCTGTGCTTGGTCCCGCCTCCCGCGCTGCGGTTGCGACCTCTGTTGGGTGGGCCCTTTAAGCGTAACCCAACCTCTGCTGCAGGGACTTGCTCCCCAGCCGCGCTGGCAAGTCCATGGTTTCCGGTTCTGACCCCGCCTACCCCCAGGGGGCCTTTCTCGTCCCGCCTCCTCTTGGAGGCTGCTTCAGAACTGCCTGACAAGAGTGACGGAAGAGCTGTCCAGGATATGTTCTTTATCCTTTTAGTCCTCTTCGGAGACAACATATCTTACGTTCGGATCAAGAATATTCTAGCGGCAACGGACGCTTATTCTCTCTTCTACCATCAAAGCGTGGCTCCCCGCAAAGGCTCAATTGTAGGCTGCCTCGGGGCGGAGCCTGAGGGACGCTGGGGGTGGGGCCTTGCGGACGCGGTGGGCGGGACTGACAGGCGGCGCGCGCTATAAAATGGGACTCGCGGCTCTGGCGCGCGCTTGAGGAGAGCGTGTTGGGTCCGATCTCTTTGCTGGCGAGTTGTCTCGAGGTTGGTCTCGGGGCCGTCTGGTCTGTGGTGCTGCTTTGCGCCCTAGGGAGCGCGTGTCCGGAGGTATCTGTGGCCTGGTCATGGGTGTGCCTGTCGCGTGGAGGGTTCAAGGGCGCTGCTTGGGGCCGCGGGCTCGCTAGGGGTGGAACCGGGGTGTCCCCTGAAAGAGCGGATGCGGGCACTTTCGGGGATGATGCCTTCCGCCAGGTGTGTGGAGCTGTGGATGCCGGGACGGGCCTTCCTTTGTCTGTGCCTTAGCCGGGCTACGCCATTTCTGCTGCTCACGTCGCGGGTCTTGTCCGCCATCTTACCCGTTTTTAGGTGACAGGGAGGGGGTGTGTGTGACATAGAATTTTCCTCCCAATGACAGACCCGTGCTACCTGCAGGTTCTCTCCGTAGGAAATCTCTGCCACTGCCCCTCCTCCCCGTGTGGGATTTTGACATTTTTGTGCAACCTAGAACACATGAGGGCTGGAGGAGGATGGGGTGTAGGGGCAGATACAAGATACGGAGTTACCAAGGCGGAAGTGAGTGCACGTGGAGGACTGGATTGCTCCGGAGCAGCAGGTAGGAGTAGACAGGAGAAAGGAAGTCAGGCCTTTTTTCCACCTGCAAGAATACTGATACAGTGTTGGGCCTGATGGTACAAGCATGTCATCCCAGCTGCTCGAATTTTGAAAGTAAATTACAGCCGGGGGGGGGGGGGGGGGGGGCGGGGCGGTGGCGCACGCCTTTAATCTCATCACTCGGGAGGCAGAGTCAGGCGTATCTCTGTGAGTTCGAGGCCAGCCTGGACTACAGAGCGAGATCCAGGACAGGCACCAAAACTACACAGAGAAACCCTGTCTCGGGGGGGAAAAAAAAGAAAGAGAGAACGTAAATTACATATTTCACTCAAAATATTTTAACCATACGTTCCCCTCTAAAACAGCCTTTTTCTGCCCACTGGTCCGTGCCATTATCACACTTGATTAGACTTTCCTCCTCGGATCCTGCTGTTCTCTTGGTGTTCATTGCGAAGCCATCTCCCAGATGCCTTTCACCAGTGGTTCAAATCTGGCTGAATACGGTCCTTGTCCATATCACTTATATCTTTGGGTTTGGGTTTTTTGTCCTTTTTGTTTGGTTTTTTTCTCCATAGAACAACCCCTTGGTTCCTCCCATCAGGTTCTTCAGAGGGATTTGTGTCTTTACAGGTTTTATTTTTCAAGGTTACTAGCAGATACAGCCCAGACAGGGGAGCAGCAGAGTCGTCTTCATGCCGTGGGTACATAGGGAATCTGTGGACCTGTGTCACTGGGGAAGTTGGGGCATCTAGTGGATTGTGTGTTTATAGCTTGGCCACCATCCCTGCAGCCAAGTGGCCTTCACATTGCAGGTCTGAGGCTCCCATGATGTTTAGCACTGGGCTCCGATCATCCTTGAGGACACAGTGCCCCTCCAGGACCTTTGACACCTGGGGGTCTGAGGAGCTCTGGTTTTGATGTTCTACACCTGTCCCCACGCATACACCCTCACTAAGTCCTTCCTGTGTTACAGGTGTATCTTGAAGCCAAGTAGCCGCCCACCATCATCTCATTGTGGTGAGAACCTTTACTTTTTGATCTCTCTACACCTAAAATAGTATACCTTCCTCTAGGGTGACTTTCTATAATTTGGGATTTAATGGACCAGTAATTATGGGAATGTTACATATTAAAATTCTCACTAGCCCTGCTGCTCATAACTGCATACTGGTCAGTGAGCCGTCTACTTAAATCTGGGTGCTAGACGGAGCAGACAGACACACTTCAAGGGCAGGTGGCAGTGTTTCCTGCCTTCCAGGGGTAGGGTCTCGGTAAGGTGCACAAAGGACCTGGTTTTCAAATTCAGTAGAAGGAACAAAATGGCTGTCAGTGTTATCATCTGACCACTGGATTCTGGGCTGAATACAGTGTGCTTTTGAGAATCCTTAAATCATTTGTACATAAAAATGATACTTTTTTTAAAAAAAAAAACCTTGAATTTACATAGGAGTCATTATTAAAATAGCAGTGTTTATCAGAAGACAGGAATGTGTGTTATCTGAAAAAGAACAAGTCCTCAGCTCTAGGAGAATTTCTCCTTGTTTTTTGGGTGTTGGGGACAGGGAGAACAATGGCTGTATTGTTGACCTTGAGGTGTTTTCTATCTGACCATACTGGGCTTGGGCTAGTAACGAGGTGTCCTGCGTATCACTGAACGACGCATGGAGTCTCTATAGGCAAAGATATGAGAACTGAAAAGGAGAAAATACTGGCAGGTGGCTAGGGAGACCTGGTTCCTGTAGCCTGTGCCCATGCTCCACTCCACTAAGTCGACAGAAATGTGCCCATTGTCCACCCCACAACCATATAGGGCTTATAAGCACCTGAAATGGGAGTTGCTGGGGCTGAATTTTTTCATTCTTAATTGTGTGGCTACGTCTTTGGACCGCTCATGTCTGCACAAAATTGAGGCTTATGGTTGCTAAATAACTAAGCACTTGTGTGCATACTTGAAGCAGAGCAGAGCAGGATAAGTTCAAGGCCAACCTGGGCTACATAACAAGACCCTCCCTGTTGGGTGGAGGAGAAGGCCACAGTATTTGAGGAAAATGAGTTGAGCAAATACCAACAGGATCCTAGCAATAGGCAGTTGTCCTCCTCCTCCTCCTCCTCCTCCTCCTCCTCCTCCTCCTCCTCCTCCTCCTCCTCCGGCAGAGTCATCACTTCCCCAGGTTAAAGTGTGGAACAGTGATGCTGGCCTCAAGCTCAGGCAGGTTGAAGAGTTGGTTGGGGGTAAATAGGCCTGGAGGAAGGGCAGAAGCCGTTGAGGTACATGTTCACTACATCCTGGGAATTCCAAACGGGCCTAGAGCTGAGCTGTGCGCCCAGGACTGCCTCATTTGCCACACATTCCCAAGGACAAAGCAGCCTCAGTCTGTTGGCAGCAGAGCATATGGAAGGCAGCGTGCAGGGTCAGGGTGGACAGTGAGGGATAACTGTGGCACCTGCTTATACTCCCAGCATTCCAGGTGGCTGAGGCAGGAGGATCCTGAGTTCACGTCCAGCCTGGGTTACATACAAAAAATATGTGAGTAAGTTGGGGTGTGGTAGTGTGCATCTGTAAACCTCTTTGGGGTAGAGGCATGTTGGGAGTGTCACAAGGGAGGACTGCTTTCTCCGAAACCAAGTGTCAGTCATTCTCTTGCCTGAATGTCTGAGCACTGTGCTACACTATCCCCCTTGGGACCTAAGAGAGGGGGAGTGTTGATATTACCAGGACCCCTGTGATGTCCAGCACTGGGCTCTGACCACCCTGAGGACATGGTGCCCCCCAGGGACCTTTGACACCCTGGGGTCTGAGGGGTCCTGGCTACGAAGGGAGTAGACAGAGAAGTTGTGCTCTTTGTGCGTCTCACCAGCCTCTTTCCCCTCTTTCTGCCGACAGACAGACAGTTCCTTCAGACAGCCAGGCTTCCCTCCGGGTAAGCAGAAGGGTTACCTAAAGTGGGGTAGGGTCTTAATACTGCTAGTACATACTGCTCAGTTTAGACTCCGCTTGTGCTGTAAGAAATCCTGTCAGTGTCTATGCTGAGGGACCCCTGTGATGTCCAGCACTGGGCTCTGACCACCCTGAGGACATGGTGTCCCCCAGGGACCTTTGACACCCTGGGGTCTGAGGGGTCCTGGCTACAAGGAGGGGGTGAGTGGGAGTGTCATGGTCTTCCTTACCAACTTTTCCCCTTGCCTTTCTGCCTACAGGTGGTCCCTGCAGACAGTCTGCCTCCCTCCAGGTAAGAACAGAGGGGCTGGCTGGCTGGGATAGGGGTAGGATCTTCATTCTAGTCCGATGAACTGTGTTCAGACATGGGAATGGGTAAAGAAGTTGGACGAGGTTGTTAGGAGGCATCCTGTCCTACTGCTTGCTCTTGGTAACCCCCATGATGTACAGCACTGGGCTCTGACCACCCTGATGGCGTGTTGCATGACCCCGGGACCTTTGACTCCGGGGTTCTGAGGGGTTTCCGTTCGAGGGGGATGCTAGGTGGAGGCATGGCCCTTTGTCACCTGCTAGCATATCTTATGCCTTTTTGCAGCCTCTGCAGCAGCATTGCTTCTAGCCCTCTTGCTGTCCTTGCCTTGAGGCTGTAGGGCCATGGCGGAGAGAGTGCTGGTACCCACCCAGATAGGCCGGGGGGACCGCTACTACACATACACGGAGCTGTTGGCTATCTCACGGCGTTTCAAGCAAAACCCCAATGAGCTCATGGTCACCTGGATCCTGCGGGTGTATGACCAGGGAGGCCCGGCCCTGTCCCTGAATTCCGGGGAGCTGGGGCTGCTGGGTGACCTCACCCATGATGCCATCTTTAACTACCGCTGCAAGGCCCTGCGGGGGGGTGGCTGCCAGACACTGCTGAGCTGGCTGCTGCAGGCCTGGCGCCAGCGCTGGGAATCCTCCCTGCATTTTGAAGCCACTCAGCTGCCCTTCAGGCCTTGGACCACCATGGAGGAAGGCATCCAACTGGTTCGTGAGCTGGGTATGATTGAGTGGATCTACCTTGACCCAGAGGGGCCTGTGGACCTGGCCCCAGAGGATGTGGCCTTCACTCAGGGCCTGCAGCGGCGCCTGCTCACAGCAGCACCCTCTGAGCTGCGGCTCTCACTGGTCAGCCTGCTGGTGCGTGGCATGACAGTGCTAGAGGCTGTGATGGAGATCCAGACCATTGCTGATGTGGGTCTGCTTTGGCGCCAGAGCCAGCCAGGCCGCACCAAGCTCATGCTGGGGCCCAACCCAACTCGAAAGGACCTCCTAGGCTGGCTGCTCAGCCACGGCGTGCCCCGGGAGCAAGTAGACAGGCAGCCCACCAAGGTGCTCCTGGAACTGTACATCAAAGAAGCCAAGCGCAGTCGGGGCCAGCCCAGCTATGGGCTGGCTGAGGAGCAGCCCCCACCACCCCCCTACTCCGACCAGGCCTGTGGGGAAGAGGCCCCTGTGAGGCACGACTAGACCTGGACTGGCTTTGAGAGCACACTCACACCCGGGGTTGAAGGTGGGGAGGTGAATTGCACAGAGGCTGCCTGCAACCTAGGCCACTAGGAAAGAGCTTGGCAAGCACCTTTCCCACATTTGTGTCCCTCCAGCATTTAGTGCCAAGTTCAGTGGCCCCCCCCAAGAGAGGTGTGCATGTCCCCAGTCACACAGTCCATGTGGGAAGTGAGCCACAGGTGGCCATTTGCTGTGAATCTAGGGTGCTTGTGGCCCTGGAGTTAAACCCCTTGAGTTGGAGCATAAGGCCATGCTGAGGTGGGTGGCCACATCACGGTCCCCACCCCTCTGCCTCCACATGGGCCCCAAAGCACTACATACAGGCCATCTTGAATTTTTTACTTTTTCAATGCAACACTTAACATAGTATTTTAGGTGTAGGCCACACTTCATGTACTTTTACTGGGTGTTTGACACTTTAGGGCCAGGCTCCCTATTTTAAAGGCTTAACATTGTAAACTTTTCTAATGCAGCATTTTTACTTTATATTTTATTTTGAGCTTATGTGACACTTTGGTTTTGGGGAGAGGAGAGCCCCCTTTTGTAAAGACTTTGCTCTGGGGACCCTGTCCCTGTTTTCTTTTAGCCATGCCCTTCTCTTTCGAAGCACCTTCCAGCTGGGTCTGGTGTCCCTGGCTGCACACATGTCCCCTGGCCAGTGCAGATCTGGATTTAGTGGAGGGGCGAGGCGGGCAGCCCTGGAGCTTCTGCCTCTGTGAGTTCCTATTAAATGGCTGGTTCATTGCCCTCCGCTGGGTGTGCTGTTTGACTTGGTCCCGGCGTGGGTAGAATCGAGATGACGAGCTGGGTCCAGGGCAGGTGAGGCACAGGTGTACTTGCCCACCTCTGGCCTGTTTCCAGAGGATACTCCAGCGGTCTGGTGAGGAAAGGTGGGCTGGTGGGGGCCAGTCACAGCCACTGGCTGGCCTTAGTCCCTACCCTGCAGCCTGCATTGGGTTTGAGTTTATTTTGCTTCTTGTGAACCAAACCCTTTAGCTCAGGCTGTCCTGGGACCCCAAGGTGTGCTCCATAGCTTCCTCAGGATCTTTGGTCTTGTACCTCCCCCAGACAGGAGCCTGGCCACCTCAAGACAGAGAACACCCATTGACTTCCCAGTGTCAGCTGGGGGCTGGGGAGTAGTGAGTACACGAGAGGGGATGCCAATGGCATGGTTGCTGGTCAGTAGGGAGTGGGTCCTGGAGTGGCAGTCCTAGGTGCAGGCTCATCACCACATCCTTTAGGAACTTCCCCACTTCAGGGAGAGCTTCGGATGGTGGTGAGGGTGGGGCTTCTAGAAGACTGGTTACCTTAGCCAGTACCCTGGGAGACCCCCATCTCCATCCGTTCTGCCGCCCGCAGGCTGTAATTGCTGGGAGTAGAGCTCCTTAAGGACAGTCCAGTCCTAAGTGGTCTCAAACTATAGGCTCTCACCCGCACACATGCTTACTGCCTGCCCTCTGTATAGCCCCTGACTGCACAGACACAAGTGTCCGGGTGTGCGCAATGCCTGGGGCCCACCCAGCCTTCATTCCCACACGCGCGCGCGAGCGAGCACAGTAAGTGACAAGTCAGAGCAGCAGGTGAGCACACGTGTTGGGATCCAGTGTCAGCTGAGGGGGTGCTTTTGTGTCTATACGCCCCCCTCATACAGCCCCTCCCAGGGCCCTCAGGCAGCTGGGCCTCCAGGCCAGTAGGCCAAGCCCCAGGCTCAGCACAGCCAGCACAGCCACAGCTCCGGCCAGAAGGGGCACCGTGGCTGCAGGAAGAACATGGGGGTTGTGAATCCCAGGCCTTGGGAACACCCCGCTCCCACCCCTGCGCAGAGGGCTGTCACCTGGGGGGCTGGTAGACTCATAGGAACCATGGCAGGGGGCCCCATGAACTGGAGGCCTGGCTGGAGCAGTCAGCTGTTGGAAGCGCCCAAGCGGACAGGGGGCCGGGCACCCGGGAACCTTCAGTGGCAGGGGTGGGCTGGAGGTGTCATTTCGGTAGATGAGCGAGATGGTGACATTCCTGGTGGTGGAGAGGACAGTAGTGTGGCCCCTTCCCTCCTAATGCCCATCCCACCCAATGCCAAGCCATCACCCATCCTCACTCTCCATCTTCCTCCTCGGGTTCCCTGGAGCTCCCCCGGAACTCAAAGGCCATGCAGGCAGCATAAGGTGGGGTGTTCCCATCGTAGATGCCCAGGGCCCCCTGGAGGGCCAGCAGGGTGCTGTCATGCTGCAGAGAATTCCATTGAGGGGAGCTGAATTAGGACCCCAGAATGCTTCTAGCACCCTTAGAAATAACTCCAGACCACTCCCATCCACCATGGACATTCTATGGTTGTCCAGACATGCTAATTGTTCCTCGGCAGTTCTAGTCAACAGTCCTTGCAGGGGGACTAACGCTCCTCAGGCCCCTCCCCCATCTTTACTGTGTTTCTAGTGATACAGTCCCATAGGTACTGTAGGAGATAAGGGTGACCCAAGGCTGTGGGCTTAGATTACATGGTCTTTTTTTTGTGGGGGGGGGGGGTCCGAGACAGGGTTTCTCTGTGTAGCTTTGCACCTTTCCTGGATTTCACTTTGTAGACCAGGCTGGCCTCGAATTCTCAGAGATCTACCTGGCTCTGCCTCCCAAGTGCTGGGATTAAAGGCGTGCGCCACCACTGCCTGGCTAGATTACATGGTCTTAGCCACCACTGCCACCCATGTAGTAGCCAACCCCTGTCCTTCCCAAAGACTCACAGCTGAGTACATGACCATCTTGAGGGGCAGCCCCAGACTCTGGGCCCGGGAGAAATTGCTGAGGATGGCATCCAGTAGAATCCCTGAGGGACAGGAACAGAGTGCTTATATACCCCCTCCCCACCTGAAGAATAGCCCCCCCACCCCCATAGGCCTTACACCTCACCCCCTGTCAGCTGGGCCTTTTCTGCTGCCCGGGGTGGGCCCACATGTGCCCTGATATCCAGAGCTGAAATCTGTGACAGAGTCCTCAGGACGTCTGGGGAGGCCCAGGATGGAAGGGTGAGACCATGGGCACGCTGGGGAGAGAAGGAGAGGACCTCGAGAGGGAGTCCTCAGTCACCCCCCATTTGTTTCGTGTGTGCATATGTACAGTGTGTGCCTGTGCACGCATGCATGTGCATGTATGTATAGGTTAGAGGTTACCTGTAGATGTTCCTCAGGCCTGGCCCACCTAGTTTGAGTCTCACTGGCCTGGAACGCACCAAGTAGGCCAAACTGGCTAGCCACTGAGCCCCAGGGTTCCTCCCGTCAAGGTCTCCTCAGCACCAGGAGTGAGCTGCTGCATTCAGCTTTTTCATGCAAGTGTTGGCAGTCCAGACTCCTCATGCTTGTATGGCAAGCACTTTGCGGACAGTCAACCCTCCAGACCCTGACCCTCATTCAAACCCCTCAGAGATCAGCTCACCGCAGAGCGTGTGGGCCAGAGCAAGTACCAGACCAGAATCCTTACCAAGCCCTTTGGGACCAGAGATGCCTTGGAATCTGACATTTGGGATTCTAGAAAGATCCAATGAAATGGTACCAGGAAAGGGGGTGTCACCGTCCACCAACCTGTCACCATCCCCACCGTGCAGATGGGGAAGCCAGGGTACACAGGCTAAATCGCTTGCCCTAATAAACAGCTAGGCCAAGTGCTGGTTTAAAGTCCCCAGCTGGGAAAGGTGAGGCAAAGACCCACCTGACAGATTAGTGTGTCCAGAACTTTCCATGCTCTGCGGAGTGGCTCTCCAACCAGTGACAGCCCGGTGAAGTTGCCCAGGCGGGTCAGGAAGTCCTGGGTGGAGATGCAGGGCTGGGTGAGCCCTGACCAATCCTTGCTTGGCACCCAGCCCCACCGACCCCCCACAGCACTCACCGTCCAGCCCTCCAGGGCCTCCTGGTAGTCAGCGGCCTCTGTGGACTCCCGCAGCAGCTCATGGTATCGGGGGCAGCTGCGCATGGGGAACCTCAGCAACTGAGAGAGACTGAGGCTCAGGCAAGAGCGGTAAGTCTGGGGTCTCACGATTGGCCATGGGGCCAGGGTCTCTGGCCTTGTCCCTCTCCCACTGTCCCCTGTACCCAGCTAAGCTGGGCGGGGGTGACAGCTTACCCCTCTGGACAGTCCCACCAGGGACAATCTTGCTGATCTCAGCTGTTCTGGGCCCGGAAGCCCAGAAGTGTGTCCACCTGGCTGGGAGCTGCCTCTGCCCCTCTCCAGCTCAGTGGTACGCTTTGCTTCCATCCCTTTTTGTATATGTGTGGTGCTGGTTATGGAACCCAGGACCTTGGACAAGCTAGGCAGTCCCTCTACCTCTAAACCACAGCCCCAGCTCCTCACTGGGGGACTCTAATGCTTCACCACTGAGCTACACTCCCAGTCCCTCCCTGGGGGATTCTAAGGTGGGGGGGGGGGTGTTTACCACTGACCTACATCCCAAGTTGTCTTGTTAACTTTTCATTTTGAAAAAGTCTCACTAAGGTTCCCAGAATGACCTTGAACTCAAGATTCTTTGTTTCTCCCGTCAGATCCAGCCCCCTGACCTTGTCCTCAGACACAGGCACTGTGTGCACTGGAATGGGCTTCCAGTCGGCCTCGGGGCTTCCAGGGGCAGCTTCGGGGAACAGCCCAGCCAGGTTGGCCTGTGCGCTCTCCAGTGTCCGGTCAAAGTCTGTACTGCGGATGTACACCTGGGGTGGGTGAGGGCAGCAGAGGGGTGGGCGGCCAAGGGTCAGCAGTGTCCCAAATCAAAAGCTTCAGATTCAGTTTGGGGGAGGTTAGGTTAAAGGTCAGGCATTGAGGGTTAAAACTCAAGGTGAGTTCAAGTGTCTGGCCTTCCAACTTTGGAAGTTGGGATGGGGGTCAGAGGTCAGAGGGGTGAGGTGTTGGACTGCAGGGGTCTACTGAGGTGTTGAGAGTTAAAGGAAGGTCATATCAAGGAGGCTGGAGGTAAGAGGTCAAGATGTAGAAGGTGGGAACTGGAAACATGAAGCTAAAGTTCAGTACGCAATTCTCAGAGGAGTCAGGATCAGGGCCAGGAGGACTCAGCCTAAGGCTGTCAGAAGACAGAAAAGGAAGGTCAGACGTGATGAAGGCAGGGATCAAAGGTTGGAAGTTGAAGCTGCTGGGGGTGTTGCTCGGTGATGGAGGGCTTGCCCAGCATGTGTAGGTCCAGAACCCTCCCAAGAAACCCCACCCCAGGAAACATAGGAGGGCAAAGCAAGGGCTAAAGACCAAATCAGGTTCAAAGGTCAGAAGGTCAGGATGGAGTAGTTGGGAGTCAAGACAAAGGTCCAGTCAGTGGTCATAGTTTGAGAGGTCAGAGGTCAGGGTGGATTCCTTACTAACTCAAAAGCCCATGGGAATGCAGATCAAGTTGATAGACAGAGACAAGAGGTGAAGGCCAAAGGGGGCACTGGGGTTAAAGGTCAGCAGCAAAGTACCTCTTCACGCCTGTACTCCGGGCTCAGGAAGGCCTTATAACGCCTCCTCAGAAATCGGCCCAGCTCCAGCTGCTGTCGGATCCCCTCCTGGGGACAGAGGCAGCCTCAGCAGACCCTCATCGCCTGTCCCCCAGCCCTCTTCCTCACCCCCTCTCCCTCCTCACCTTGGTCAGCTGGCCCAGGCCTCGGGGCCACAAGGTGGAGGCAGCTTCCTTGTGTGGGTCTGTGGGGTAGGAGGCCAGTGGGGCCCGGTCGCCATGGCGGAACACCTGGGGATGTTGGAGAACCAGGTCAGGGCTGGTCTAGGAGGTAGAGAGTGGGTCAGGGGGGGTGGGAGGCTGCGCACCAGAGCCACAAATAGCAGCGGCCCCTCTAGCAGGGCCTGGGGTGGGAGCAGCAGCAGCAGCAGCAGCAGCAAGGGTCCGGCAGTGTGGCCCTGAGACCCAGGCTCGGCCATTTCCACAGAGAGCAGACGCTGAGCTCAGCCTCCGTCTGTGCTGTGGCCTCACCTGCTCATTAGCCTCCGGCTCAGCCCCCTGCAAGCAACGCAGGCCCCAGCACGCTCCACAGCACTGCCCCAGGCTGGAGAGGTCTGGGGTTAACCCAGTTCATCTTCACAGACCCCCCAGGAGGTGTCCATGTAGCCACCAGCATCCCGGCTATGCTGATGGGGAAACTGAGGCACAACAGGACCACTGACTTGCCTGAGGAAACATCTAGGAAGTGGCAAAGCTGAGAGGTAGTTACAGGGAACCCCACCCCACCCCCACCACCCCTGCTTCCCCATGTTTTCTGTTCCTTTTTTAAAATGTCAGGACTCTATGAGGCCCCCTTGGACTTCTTGAAGATTTCACTTTCTTCCCACACCACATACAACTGGTTAAAACCAATAGAGCCCTGTAGCAAAATTCCCAAGCCAAGAGTAGACAGACTAGGTTCAAATCTCTCACCATTACAAGCTGTGTGATACTATCAAGTTACTGTAATTTCTACATGCCTTCATCTCACAAAACAGACCAGATAGGTCAAAGAGCAATAAGCACTTAAGAACCTGTTTGCAGAAAGGAACTGTTAAGAAGTTGTGTTTATGACCACTTAACAAATGACCCTAAAACTTAGCAATTTATGTGTGTGTTCATGTGTGTGCAGGAGTGCATGTGTGTGTGGAGGCCAGATGGCAGGTGTCTTCCTCAAACACTCACCACCTTATCATTTTAGACAGGGCCTCTCACTTAACCTGAAGCTTGCTGATTCAGGCTAGACCAAGCTCCAGGAATCCTCCTGTCTCAACCTCACAAGCCCTGGGATTACAGTTACATGCCATTGTGCCAAGATCTTTAACATGGGTATTGGGGAACCGAACTCAGTACCTCATACTTGTGAGGCCAATGAGCCACCTCCCCAGCCCCAAGTTCAATATCTTAAGGCAGTTATTGCATTGCTCATGGGTTTTGTGGGTCAAGAACTGGGAAGGCTTAGTATAGAGGGAGTCTAGCTGTTTAATTTTGGAGTTTGTTTTTTTGTTGTTTTGTTTTTGGTTTTTGTTTGTTTGTTTTAAGGTTGTGGTTTGAGACAGGGTCTCACTATGTCGTTCTGGCTGTCATAAAACTCACTACATAGACCATGCTGGCCTCAAACTTACAGATCTCTGCCTCTCAAGTGCTGAGATTAAAGGTGTACATCACTACATCGGGCCATGATTTTATTTATTTTTATGTTATGTACTTGTATGTATGTGCATGCAATGCTCACAGAGGCCAGAAGAAGACGTTAGATCCCTCTGGAACTGGAGTTACAGATGTTTGTGAGCCACCATAACTGAACCCAGGTTCTCAGGAAAGCAGCCAAAAAGCAGTCTACTATCATTTGAACACCTGCTGAGCAAGTGCTGTGTCTCTGGGCTACCATCTTTAGCCACAAACACCTTAACCTCCCCCCCTTTTTTTTAATGTTGTAGACAGAATTTTACTACATTGCCCAGGCTAGCCTTGGACTCACCCTGTACCCTGGGCTGGCTCACAACACTACAACTTCAGCTTCCCAAATGCTCAGAAAACAGACTTGTGCTACCATGGCTCCAAAAATTCTGTTAATCCCAGCCAGGCATAGTGCTACATGTCTTTATTCTCAGCACTCAGGAGACAGGTGGATCTCTGTGAGTTCGAGGCCAGCCTGGTCTATGTAGCAAGTTAATCCCAAAGCAAAACAAAGGACAGCCATAAGTGACACAGAACCACAGGAACAATGTGGAGTGGTGACCAAGTTCTGTCCCCAGAAATGTCCTCGTACTCGCCCTCCTGGGGCGCTCGCTCCCTGTGCCGCTATAGCGGTTGACCACCAGCCAGGCAGCAGCAGAGGACCCATGATCCCCCGCTGCCCCGGAGGCTCCAGGTCCACAGTTGGTGTGACTAGCTGGAAATCAGGTTGTCCTCAGGCCATGCATCCACCACCAGCTATGACGGAGAACGCCATCCCCTGCCTTCCCCACCTCTCGGAGCTGTTTTCCAGGACTCCATTTTCAAAGCCAGCCACACGCCACCCCCTTCAGCTGTCACATCCCTGGCTTCTGTAACCTGGCGTCCCTCGCTTCTCTCTCTTTTTGGGTGTGTACACTTGGGGGGGGGGGGCTCCCACATGCCACAGCACGTATGCCAAGGTCAGAGGAGAGCTTGTCAGGTCTGTCCTCCTACCGTGTGAGCTCTGAGAACTCAACTATCTTGACAGCCCTTCTTTTATTTTATTTATTGGCTTGTTCACTTAGTAACAGGGTCTCACGTATCTCAGGCTACCCTCGAACTCTCTGTGCACTATGTAGCTGAAGGTGACTTTGAACTCCAATCCAGACAGAAAGAGCAACAGCAGACCCGAGAAATCACCCTGAGTCCAGCATGGTGAACCAGTGAGTGTATCAGGGTCACGCACAGGACTGTGACTCAAAAGCAGCTGCAGCACCAGAGAGTCTCACGGGCGGGGGGAGGGGGGATACAAAGATGTCTCGCTGGAGTCTTCTGGCACCTTGCAGGCAGCTCCACTTGAGAGTGTCTTCTCTCCAGCAACCACCTACTGCTCATGTAACTTGTGAGTCTGGAAAATGTCTTGAGTTTTGTGAGCCTCTTGACCCTTCTTCCCAGCCTGGACTAGAGAAATGCTGCACCACACACAGAAGTTCTCTTCCGGGTGTGGAGAGGCCAGAGGTCGAGTCAGATGTCTTCCTTAATTTCTTTTCACCTATTCTGATGGCTCTCGCTGAACCTGGAGCTCACTGGTTTGGCGAGCAAGCCCCAGGGATCGTCCTGTCTCCACCTCCCCAGTGCTAAGGTGACAGGCACATGTGCCATGCCTGGCTTTTTACAGGAGTGCTAGGGAACCAAACCCAGGTCGTCACGCTCATGTGATATGCACTTGGCCCACTGAGCATCTCCCTCACGCCCTTACCAAGGGATATGTTTTCTTTGTGTTACAAACAGAAAATGGCTCAGACATCTTTAAGTGACTCACCCAAGGTCATCCCACGGACAGACGTCAGAGCTGGGATTCAAGCCCACACAGGCATCCCTCCAGGAGGCTTCCTACCCTGTACCTCCCTCCTCAGTGTCGAGGCTGGGGCATCACTGCAAAAGCCTGGGCCCCTCCAGTGGTTCACACCCATGGGAACAACCGGTAGCAATTTGTGAAGGTGAAGGCAGTTCAGCACACGTGTGTTTATCTGCCCTCTCCTCTGTACCCCTTAATGGCCTGGAGAGTCATTATAACGGTCTAGAGGACAAAAGAGTTAGGAACCTACACAGAGCATTGGGTGGTCAGGGTCAAAGTGCCTTGCTGTCCCCATGGTCCAGATGTCAGCATCTGCCACCACCACCATGCTTCACACTATCATGATGCTCCTGCCAGCCTCACAAACTGGGGACCAAGTTCTAGTGTAACTCCTGACTGCCGTCCCCACCATTGCGCCTGGCAGACATGAGGATGCCATTTTGCCTGGGCCGTTAGACCTAGGGCAATCTCCTACCTCAAGATACCAGACCCAGTCTGTTCCTCCCCTGCTCACAAATCTCCCATGGCTCCCAGCACACTCCAGGGAAGAAAACAGAACTCAGTGAGTGTGCAGATCCAGTTCTGAACTCTCCAATCTCATAGGTCTTGATGCTGGATTTAGGTACCATGTGTGACATTCCACACCCTCATCCCCCTCTCCCCAACCCCCAGTGTGAATGTCTCTTCTACCCAAAATGCCCTTTCCTGGTCACCATGGTCACCATTCTGGTCTCCCCGACAACCCCCTCCCATTCTTGAGGCATCTTCCTGGCTGACTCAGAGGCCTGGGGGAGGGAGGTCAAGCCGCTGTGTGGCTAGGACCCATGGCCATGAACTTGCAGGAAGTGAGGACAGGTGAAGGGGCTGGGGCAGGGGTGGGCACAGGGAGGGGAGGGAGCTGACTCCTGACCTCCTCTCCTAGAATGTGACCTTGGCCATGGCCGTGTTCACCATCCTAGCCTCCATCTACTTCTTCAACAAGGTGAGGGGGAGACAGAATGCAGGAGAGTCTGCGTCTCGTGTCTCTCTTCATTTGGCCATGTAGCCTTTTCTGTGTCGAGTTGCCATGTGTCTCCATCACGCTTCTGTCTCTGCTCTAGGCTCAGCAATGAGAAGGCATGGCTCCCCAGTCCTCCAGCCTGGCCTCTGCCTGTCCTACCACCGCTCTGGCCTCTAAGATCTAATAAATGTAACAGCATCAGACCAAGGCTGCCTTCTCCCTAAGCCCTGCTCGGCACAACCCTGCTCCCACAGCCAGCCAAAATCTCAGTGGGAAGAAGAAAAGCAGAGACCTGGCCCCTAGATCTGAGGGAGGAGGCTTGGGCGTGGACATCTGAATCTGAGGGAGGAAGGAGGCTGGGCCCTGGACCTCTGAGTCTGAAGGAATAAGGCTGGAGCTTGGACCCCTGGGTCTGAGGGAGAAGTTCTGGAAACTGAGGCAGGAGTGACAATGACCTGTGCTCTCTAGTTGGAGAATCAGGGTCTGATGTCTGACCTGGGTTTTGAGGAATGAGTAAGAGTCTTTAAGGGCCATAGGTATCTGAAGGGCATTTCAGCCATGAGTGTCAGAGCACAGAGGAGAACTCCCGTGGTCCAGTTCTCCATCTGGCATCAAACAGCTTGTTCAGGACTTAAGGCTTATAACTTCTCTCTGAGCACTCCTGCCAGGTGAAAGTGAAAATCTGTTTAACAGAAGGCCACACTAAGGATAGCTGGAGCTCAAAGGTATGTGTGAGCAGACCCCGTGACTGTGTCAAGAGTCTGCATGGTCATGATTCCTTTCTTAGCTATCTTAAGGAATGCTGACGCTTCTCCTTTTTCCTTTTCTTAGCAAACTCCTATTCAATGGCTATCACATGTAATCAAATCCCTTTCTTGTATAAGCGTCCAGAACGCCAAATAGGGACTCGGTTAGCCCACACTCGATCACCTTCCCGTCACCTTCTCCAGCCTCCCCAAGTGAATGCCCTGAGGAACACACCTGTTCATTTCCACCCAGTATCCGAGGCAGTGGCTTCTGAACAGGGTATATGCTGGGTCTTCAGGATAAGGACTAGAAATTTCAAATCACAAACAGATTTGTGAATCTATTAAGCTCAGAACTGTGCAATTTGAGTGGCTTGAGACCAAGCTGAACTGGCAGTCGCGCCCTCTGTTGACTAGAGCCTGTAACAGCACCCTCTGACCTCAAATACAATGGCTCTTTGGATGCAGAATCAGAAATAGCCGCATGATGGCGATGTCGGACTACCTTCCCAGCTTCTAATTGGCCACGGGGTGTGAATTTGCAGAGCATACTGGGCCTCCCTGGGTTCTCTCCTAAACACTTCCCAAGCCTTCACCTCCTCCCGTCAGTCGAGTGGCCTCTCTCCAACCTAAGACCACTGTGCACCTCCCTGCTCACAGGGCCCCCACCAGGCCTCTCTACTATATCCTTAGCCCCGTAACTCAAAAGTGGTTGAGTAGTTACACGCCACGGCTTCCCACCTGCTGTGCCCCAACAGCTGTGGTGCCCTTTGCATGGTCCTCCATTGCAAGCATTCCTTTCTGCCTCACCCCTTCTCTTCACTCCCCAGGTGGACTTGCTTGGCTGCCAATGTGTCTTCAGCCACATAACCAAGTCAGCCTTTGCGTCCTCCTCATCCCTCCTTCCCCCAGGGCTTGGTCGTTTATGAGATTTCTGTGTCCTCAGGGAGCGATCAACTTGGCATTTTCTCAACCGCAGTCCAGCGGAGATGGACATGTCTCAGGCCGGCGCTGTGTAGACCCACAGAGGGCTTTGTCAATTCCCACCACTGAGCTTGGGGTGGGGTGGAGCATTGATTTTGCTCTGAAAGCTCCCCAGGGTGCTATGAATGGGCAGTTGGGGTTCTGAGGCTGCTCATTATTGAGAGGAAGCTGAGTGCTTCCCAGAGGTAGCTCTGCTGCCTGAGAGATTCTTCCAGAGACCTCTACTCAGACAAAGATGGAACTCTTTTTTATTATTATTATCACTATTTTTATTTTATTTTTAAAAGTAAATATTTACTAAGTGTCAGGATTGCATTATGTGCTTTAATTTAATTAATCAATTATTTCTGAGTCAGGTTAGCTGGAACTCGCTATATAAGACTAGACTGGCCTCAAAATAACAGAGATTTGCCTGTCCCTTCTGGGATAAAGGGGTGAGCCACCACCCCTGGCTTTTATTTTTCAATTACATGTATGTGGTGTGTGTGTGTGTAAATGTACACACATGTGGAGGGTGTCCATGGAGGCCAGAAGAGGGTGTCAGATCCCCTGGAGCTGGAATAATAGGCTGCGAACTGCCAGCCATGAGTGCTGGGAAACAAACTCCTAACTCAGGTCCCCTGTAAAAGCAGCAGGTGCTCTTAACCACTGAGTCATCTCTCCAGAATTGTGAGTCAGTGTGAAACAGAGTTGGAATTAAGAGTTTAGGGCTGAAGAGATTGCTCAGTGGTTAAGAGCAAACGGCCCGGGTTGGATTCCCAGCAAACACATGGAAACTCTAGATCTTCTGTGACTCCAGTTTCAGAGGACTGATGCCTCTGTGGGCACAGCACACATGTGATGCACAAGACATTCTGCAGACGGAACACTCACACACATACAGTGTTAAAAGTGAATTTCTCAAAGAAAACAGTTTAGGCCTGAGGACATGGCTCAGTGGGTTAAAAGTACTTGCTAGATAAAATGAGGACCTTAGTCTGACATTCCAAAACCCACATGTGGGGAAGCTTGAGGCTGTAATCCTGGCACTTCTGTGCCAAGAAGGAAGGCACACACAAGAAAACCCCTGGGAACCGGAAGGGCAGCTACTCTGGATACGCGGTAGCAAACAACGCAAAGACAGCTGTCTAAGTTACTGTTCCATAGACACCATGACTAAGACAATCCTAAAACAACGCATTTAATTGGGGCTGGCTTACAGCCTCCCAGGGTTGGTCCGTGCTCATCATGGCGGGGAGTAGAGTGGCAGGCAGGCAGGCATGGTGCTGGAGAAGCAGCTGAGGGCTCACATCCTGATCCACAGACAAAGACGCAGCAGGCAGAGAGAGACACACTGGGCCTGGGGTGGGCTTTTGAAACCTCAAAGCCCACCCCAAGTGACACACTTCCTCCAACAAGACCAGGCCTCCTCCTCCTAATCCTTCTCAAATAATGCCACTCCCTGGTGACTAAGCATTCAAATATATGAGCCTATGGGGACCATTCTCTTTCAAACCACCACAGCACCCTGTCTCAACTAAGGTGGAAGGTGGGGATCAACATCCTCAGGTTGCCTTCTGACCTCAAACACACACATGTCATGTCACATGCAGACCTATAGTCTGACATGAATGCACACCCATCATAAACATATACAAAAATAAGATTTTTAAAATACTGTTTTTGACTGTGTGTCTGTGCACATGAGCTCAGTTAATACCCATGGAGAGAGAAGAGGGCACCAGACCCCCCCTAGAGCCTTAAGTTACAGGTGGTTGTGAGTTGCCACATCCTTTGGAAAAGCAGCCTATGCTATTAACTTCTGATCCATCTCTCCAGCCCCAAGAAAAGATTCTGCGATAGAGAGATGCCTAGGGGAGGGCTGTACTTCTTAAGACAGCATCACCCGCAAGTGTCTGGACTCTGGTCACATATTCAACTCTGTTTTTTTTTTTTTTATTTTTTGGAAGTTTCTGACATTACTTTGTTCAGAGGAACTTATTTTTTCTCTTTTCTTGCAAAATCACAAGATGCTTTCCAGGGCTCATCAGAAAAGATTACAGCTCTCAAAATAAAACCATAGTCCACAGGGGAGCTAGGGCATGCTTCAATCTGCACCCAAAGTTTATAGCTTTGTTTGTGAGATTCTCCAGAAAACCGCCTTTAAAATTCTTTAAAGTTTGCAGTTTACAGCTTTGAAAAAATCATGGCCACAGATGCTTCAGAGTTGTGCAAGGTTCGCTGCTATTTCAACCTTCGTGTTGAAAACAGCTCTGAGGATAAGGAATGCTGGTTTTTGTAGGCAGCCATCAGAATAAACAGGTGTTTGTTCTGGGGTTTGTGTGTGTGTTTGTTGTTCGGTTTTGGATGGGAGGAAGGTGGCATGTGTGCCACAGCACTCGCCTGGAGGTCAAAGAACAACTGGCAGGAGACGTTTTCCCCCTTCCACTGTGTGGGTCCCGGGTATTAACGGGTATTAACGGGGTTGCCAGGCTTGGTGGTGAACTCTTTCTTGACCCGCTGAGCTAGCGTGCTGGCCTGCAAATCTTGACGGTGCTGGAATTCTTGACTCTAACTGGCGACTCAGCCAGACTCTGGTGAAGGCGCCTTTCCCTTTCCATGTACATCTACTTAAATGTCCCTCTTTCTACATCTGACAGTGTCAGAGGCTCAAGACAGCCAGATGTGGTGGTGGTGGTGGTGGTGGTGGTGTGAAGGCTGGTCATCCCAGCACTGGAAGGGGGCCTGAGGCAGAAGGATCACCATGTGTTTGAGGCCAGCCTGGGCTATGGAATGAGACCCTGTCTTCAAAAAACAAACAAACAAAAAAAAACTAGAGATAGGTGGAGCTCACCTTTGGGCTTGAGAGGTGGCTTGGAAGGAGAGCACTTTTTCGGATCCTCCAGTGAGCTGGAGCATGGCTCATTGGTCGAGCCCCTGCCTAGAATCTTCCAGTGAAAGGCTGGGCTCTGGCTCAGTGGCAGGGCTCTTCCCTAGGATGCTCAAAGCCTTGGGTTCCATTCCCAAAGGGGAAGTGTAGTTAAAAGGGACCTG